GGGGGGGGGGGGGAACAACAACCCTGTAATAGTGGATGTCTCCGGCGGCTGGAGGATGAAGAAACGGCGGGGGTGTGTCTAGAGGAAAGCCCGCATCCTGGCCGTCAGTGCCGCAGTAACATGATCGCAGGTTGTGCTGTGGAGCTGCTCGTCTTTACAGAAGGAAGGTGTCCAGCCCCTCGGGGACAACCGACCGTCTGTCTGTCCGTCACAGTGAGGAGGGGGACAGAGGGTCGCTGTCCGTGGTGCTGACTGAGGCAGGTGCACGGTGGGATGTTGTTGCACAAATCTGCGACTTAAAGGGAAAGTCCCCCAAAAAAATACCTGGATCTGGAGATCAGAGCAGTGGCGGACATTTTCATTCCATTGTTAAAAATGATTATCATTGTTGCTGTTATTACTTATGCACAATAGAGAGGCAACACCCAATGACTGAACTACAGATAAAATCCCTGATTTGATTCAGTTTATCGAAGATATTTTGCTGTTAATTCACATTATGAAGCCGACCAGACACTGCACAATAAATAGTGTTTGTTGTTATTATGTCTATCTTTTGAATTAAAGGTTCAGTGTGTAGACTTTAGTGACATGCAGTGGTGAAGTTGCGTGTTGCAGCTGAATACCCCTCACCTCACCCTCATCTTCCCAACATGAAAGAGAACCTGCATAGCCTTCAGTTGTCATTTAAACTGTAAAGATCTTTAGAATCACCAGAATGACACCTAAATGAAGTATCATCAGCAAAATGTACTTACACTATCAGATGAAACTATTTATAACTATGAATGGCACAAAGATTGTGAAGATTTCCAGGCTTAATTTTTCTGATGTGTTAAAAAACTTAATTTCTTTCTTTTTCGAATTTGCTCTTCATTACTTTAAAACATGTTGTGGTGTAAACTGAAAATAATCACTTCTTAAGGTCAAATATTTAAGGAGGTAACAAAGAGAAAAGGTAACAACTAAACAATTTCCATCACTGATTTAAAGCTGTTAGAATAATGTTTGAACACCAGCAATTACACAGGTACTCTTAGATAACTAAACCAAAGGCTACGATTTATATATGGAAATATGGATTAGATATAATATGAAGCGTACCCATTCAGTATGAATATAATTTAAAAATGCTTACAAAAACATATATGTTTACATAATTCAATGAAAAACCATGACAGAGAATAAATCATTTTAAATTCAGGTTTACATTTATAATTACAATGTCTTGAAAAAGTACAAAAATCTTTTTGGAAAGGTTTGAAAGATCTGAGACGGGGGAGTGAAATTTAATTTGTTTGTTTACATTTAGTTACATTTTACCTTCTGTCAGTGATATGGAAAAACATAGCGCATATTTAAAGGTTTTCATATGTTTTACACATGTATAAATCATAAGAGGTTACACATGTTGCAAAAGTTTAAAAATGCATGAATCAACAACGTAGCTGTAGACTTATAGTGATATGGGGGTTATAACATTAGACCATGAGGAATTTCTTTTTGTAAATGAGTGTAGTTATCGTAAGCATGAGTCTTTGTTTAGAACAAGACAATCTTAACTGCAGGGACATTTCTTCCATTTTATCACATGTGTTTCATTCTCTTTACTCTTTCTCCCAGGGTCTCCTTTTCTGATGATGAAGGGAACTCTTAAAAGGAAAGAGAATAGGAGTTATGACTGATTAAACACCTCATCAGTACTTCTCATTAGACCATTAACTCCAACTCTGAGACTTCTTCTACTACTGTGATTACAGTAGAATAATTGGCGATAAATTGAATTTCAAATAAGAATTCTTAAACACCTATGTCACCGGTTGCAGAGCTACTTACAGGGTAGATGTTGGAGAGGTTGTTGAAAAGCACTTGGCCTGCGCTCACTTTGTTCCTCACTCCCCGTATGGTCCCATTCTTGCTGCAGATGTTGATGCGTTTGTTGCTGAAGAGCATCTCCCTCTTGGCACTGGCGTACAAAAGCAGGTCATCAGGTTCGCAGCCGCTGTCGTCCACAGTGGCCTCCACCACCAGTCCATTCAGGTGGCTGTTGGCCTCACTGGCAGGAGGCGAGCTCCCCTGTTCTGCCTCCGGGGAGCTGGTGCAGTCAGAGTCCACAGAATCCGACACTGAGCCGCACCAGGCTGTTTCATCCTTGAACACCTCCGTAAGGACCCGGCCGCTGTTGGCCGATGCCACTCTAAACCTGACTGTTTTCACAGCCTTCTCTTTCTCCTGTTTCACCTTTGGCCGCTCCATTAAAATACAAGATAGTCTTACATGTTTCACATCCCATTCAGAGAAGCCAGCTATTTCAGCCTAAGCCATGGTGACATGCAATTATCGAACAATAAAATCCTAATTGACGTGTGAGAAGGAGCTGAAAATACCACGGGTACAATAACTAGACACCCATATGTTTAACAATAGATGAGCTTCTGCCATGGTAACAGCTAAAACAGGCAAACAGTAAACTGATCTCATATGTTCAATAATTAATCAAGGTTAGTTTTCAAGCAGCAGATAGACCACAGCCTCCTCAGGATATTGTCTGTTCAGCTGCTTTGACTGAACATTTACAGATAACCTTCCACTGCCCTCATCTGACCTTGAAGTCATCCTGAGAGCACCAATTTATTTTAAATATTTGCCAACTTGATTCAGGGATTACTTCAGATTCAGACTGTCTGTATGGAACACATTTCTTCGGAAGCATCCATCTTATTCGCTCCACAATTGGTACATGTATTGTTAATTGCTCAGGGAAGTGCAGTGTTATTTGGTGCAATCAAGAAATGTGGTTCCTCCTATATTGATAAAAATTTAATAAATTGGTGACTTCTGTTTCATTTGATGATTAATAATGACATGATATAAAACTTCACTGCAGATAAACCAGGTAGGATGAACACAAAGTTTTCTAACTTCACTCAGCTCCACAGATTGATTTTAAAAAGCTCTGCACACAACATGTTGTAGAACTGTTGGAGCCGGACTCACTAATGAGAAGGAATAATTCTGAAGTAAGTCTGGAGCATTGAAACATGGACAAAAGAAGAAACATTCCAAACTTCACTTATATTTGCTAATACTCAGTCACTCTTACATAAGTCGGTGTCTCTGGAATTGACAGTCATTTTATCTGAGGAGCAGTAATCCTATATTTCTCCTGTACTGCAAAATATGAGGATCGTCGCCGCAATTACTAACGAGCCTGCAAATGTAGTTCTCCTCCGCTCCTGTAGATGGCAGCGAGACAATTTTACTGATTCACGACAGTCACCCCCGAAGCAGGAGAAACACGTGTAGCACAGTGTCAACATGGGGAAGAGGAGGCAGACCAAGCAGCTTTTCACCAATTTGTCCAAGAAACAGAAGAAACACTTGAAGGAGTTTGGAGAGGAGCATCCATTCCATGATGTGTGAGTAGCACAACAGACTCCAGCCTGTGTGGCTGCTACTATCTAACTGTGGTGTTAGCAAGCCTGCTAAGTTACCCTAACGGCTGAGGCTCAGTTTAGCCGCATGATGCTAGCTACAGTTGTGTGTTGTTAGCAGAAACAAAGCTAATAATGTCCACGACGTTAACAACGACGTGTGCTCTCTGAAAACCAGTATTTTGTGGGTTTTGGGTACTTCCGCTTATTATTAGCAGGTTTTAATGTGAACTAGTACATCACACGAGGAGACCCACAACACAGGACTCACGTCAAATGAATGTGTTGTTAATGTGGTTGTTAACTCTGGTTCTTTATCAAAGCAACAGAAAAAGTACATTCATATCTGGAATAAGGTTAAAGTTTAATTACACATGGTAGGAACAACTCTCTCCCTCTTTCTCTCTCATGTTCTCCATGAGGCTTCTGTCAGAACTTTCATGGACTAGCTTTCCTCTCTTACAATGTAATCCTCTCTGCATCCTCAAGCAGCCCAAACAAAGAGCATTGTAACATGTCCTCATTAATTTGTTGTCTTCAAATACGTTTGTTTTCTGAGTTGATAAATTTCCTTTTCTGTCTCTTTTTCAGAATGAATGAAAAACCTGAACGAACTGAAATAGTGGAACTGGTGAGTAGAACTGCACATAAATCCAAATTGATGCAATTTACGATTGTTGTAAATGCCATTGCACAGAGACGAAGATGTGTTTTCAGTGGTGGTAGATGTTCCATAAGCCGTTCTCAGACATGAACTCTGGAGAAACTCCCGACCCGATGTGTAGACATTCTCCAGAGGTTTTCTTTCAGATATAAGGAACACAACGGGAGATTATCCGATCGGACACTTTAACAACAACTCAGAAATCCCCGGAGTATTTAGCTTAAGGGTGGTGCAGAGGCAGGACGTAACATTTTAATTCTGCTGCAGAGATCATATGCTTCTGGTGATATTGACACTGAAACATCATGAACAGGCCCATTCGCTCACAATGAGTTCTTCTCCGGAGTTTGTACTAGGTGGCTGCCCCGAGAAACTCTTTCATTCTCACATCAACCCCTCCATAGAATGTCTGGAGACTCTCAATAGTTCAGCACATGTCTGAAAGCATCTTTAAAGTAATTGTAATGTACCCCAGACTGTTTTTTAATGTGTAAGCTCTATCAACATTATGATAATAATTTGTTGTGTCCTCACCTCTGTTATAGCCAGCAAGCCCTTTGGCATCTGACGCTGAGCACGATGAGCTAGAAGAGGAGGAGGAGGAGGAACCAGAGCAGAGAACAGCCTACCAGAAACTTCTGTCAACTCTCAGCCAACAAGATGATAATGACCAGAGTGAAGAGGAGGAAAGCTCTGATCGTGAGGAGGAGGAAGAAGAGCTTCTTGGTGAAGGTGAGTTGTTTATTTCCAGGAAAAACTTGTTGTGACTATATTTGCATTTGACTAGAAACAATTGTGCTTTTCATAACAGACGACAGTGATGGAGTTGGAGACGAGAGTGAAGATGGTGGTGAAGAAGAGGGAGAGGAGGAAGTCGCAGATGAAGTTCGGACTGAAGCCGTTGTCGGGGAGGAGGAAGAGGAGAAGGATCAAGGAGACAAAGAATTCGTAGATAAGGAGCATGAGTCCCAGTTCTGTCTGGAGAACAACTTCATGGGCGAAGGAGGACAAGAGCCCACCGCAGAGAAGGAAGACAGCAAGAGTGAGAAAGGTGTGAACAAAATAAAAATTATTGTTGGTTTTTCCAAATACAATACATTTTATTATTTCTTCAGAAAGTAAAAGGTGCACTTTAAGTGGTTTTATTATGCCTCCGCACTATGGGTGGGGAAATCGGGACAGATTTAAGTTTACGAGGGAAGTATTTAAAAACATGCGTACCGTGCGCATGTAGTTTATCTGCTACACAAAATGATGCACACAGTCAGGACTTCATTGTTAAAGTGACCAGAATGAGCTGGATTCAATAATAGAGAATAATAACTCAATACATCTGGGTGTTTGTTTTTTTTGAGCGACAGAGACAGATATTCACACAGCGCAGGGTTTTACTAACTTTATTGTTGCAGAAGAAGTGCTTTTTTAAAGCACAAATCATGAGGCCAGTAAAGATGTACATCTCTAGTAGTCACACAGTGATAAGTATGAGTCCTGTATAAAAATCTTGATAATTGAATTGTAGCTTTCTGAATCAGAATAGAATTGTGAGCCAGCGGCCGCAGCCATTGTGTTTTCGGGTTGTCTGTCCCATTCCCATGAATGTAATATCTTAAGAATACCATGAGGGAATTCTTTGTATTTGGTACAAATATTTACTTGTTTTTAACTGAAGTAGAAAACTTATAAGAATGTAACCACAACTTGTTTTACTGTGTTTATTTTCTCTGTGCAGACACGTTTTTACAGCATTTAGCCACAGAGCTCAGTGAAGAAGATGTGCAGAAGATAACATCTGGCAGTAAAGCAAAGACTCAGATCACGGTATTAACAACATCATTTGTTAAAATCTACCAGGGAGCATTTTTTCATTGAAATAACTATTTGCCTTTATCTTACTCAGTGGCCAAAATTGGGCTCTCTACTCTGTACCAGTCCCCTGGAGAAGTTTGGACCCCTTGGCCCTCAGAAAGACACAAGCCTCCCAGCTTTCCACAAACTCTTGGAGTCCTCCTGGAAAGATCTAAACCAGACGTCCAATTCTAAGAATGTGGCTGAAGAGATCAGCCCTCTCCAGCTAGAACTGCTGGCCCTCATGGGTTCCTACAAGGATTTGTACTACCCAGAGACCTGTCATCTGAATAAGCACCCTCAGGTACGCAGTGCGTACTGTGTACATGTGCTCAACCATGTACTGAAGGCCAACTCCCAGGTCCTAGCTCACAATGCTCAGTTAAGAGAGCAGACAACTCAGGTTAAACCTGGAGCTGATCCACAGGACGAACCCAGAGACCAAGGTCTGACCCGGCCCAAGGTAAACAATTGTTAACATTTCATTTGGTGTCTTTACAGAGCTTCATTTGTTATTTCTAAACATCACAAATAATGAATCGCTTTATGACTAGGGCTGGGCAATAAAACATGTTCTTGACATAATATTTAACTTGCTTATGAATGTGTCAGGTGCTGATTCTCGTCCCGTTCCGAAGCGGAGCTCTGCGAGTCGTTCAGACTTTCATCAGCCTGCTGGAAACAAAAGGCAAGAAGATCGTGGTCAGCAATAAGAAGAGGTTCAAAGATGAGTTTGGGGAGGAGGCTGATGAGCAGCCACCCAGAGTGCAGAGACCGGATGATTACCGCGCCATCTTCTCAGGCAATGTCGATGATCACTTCAGGATAGGTACAGTTTGGAAATAAAATGTGACCCACGTTAAGAAAACCTGTTTTTGAGCCTGAGACCGTGCTGATGTAATTTCTATTCACCAGGTGTCTCCATTGTGAGGAGCAGTGTGCGACTATACGCCCCCTTCTACTCATCAGACATCATCATTTCGTCTCCCCTGGGCCTGCGAACAGTGCTGGGAGCAGAAGGAGAAAGTCAGAGAGACTTCGACTTCCTCTCCTCCATCGAGCTGCTGGTGATGGACCAGGCAGATGTCTTCCTCATGCAGAACTGGGAGCACATCCTGGTAAGTATGCTAACAGATTCAGGAAGGTACTTATTTTGATACTCTCCACATTGATTTGACATCCATTAAGTTTAGGCTTGTGTGCACTTTGGCTTTAAATTGGTAGGAAAAAGAGATAGTAGTAAAAGTGAACATAGTGGAAATCTTTTTGTAACTTTTTATTTGAAAATACAACATTCATTTGAATGTGGGAGGAGAGTTCATATTCAAACTGTAATGTGCCTATTCAAATTCAAAATATACAGCCCTAGTAGCTCATCAGGCCATCTGGAGTAGTTTGCCTCGTGATCCAGCAGGGGGTGCTCACTATCATCACCCTCTTGATCTACTGAATCAGTAAAGTATTCCAATAATGTTATTTTGCTACGAAAATGGAGGACACTTGCACTTACAATCACGACCCCAAACCATCTGAGCAGTAGTGTGTGGAATTATTTTGGGCAAAGTAACAAAGAGAGGAGCAGACACCACAGACAAGAGGCTCAACGTCATGTTCAACTAGATGTTGAATGCACTAAGTGCAAGTCGCTTTGGATAAAAGAGTCCACCAAATGAAATGTAATGTCATTATTAATAATAAGTAATTAGTAATCATTATGTAATAACTAATGAATGTAAAAAAATTATCGATTTGAATAAATCGTGTGCCAGGTCAAATTCCTTCAACCTTGATTTTTGGAAAACTGAAGAGCAGAAAATGGTCTGTTACTGCGTGGGTGCATCTCTCTATCAGAGTATCTACTTAAGTTCCACACTGCTGGGGGAGATGTGGTGCCATCAGGTGACCAACAACTGTAATAAATCAGTAAAAGCTTTATAAGGGTAATAATGCTGGAGCAGGTTTTTTTAGGTAACAGTTTGAACAGGATTTCCAAAGGGATGACCCTTGTATTTTCAAATTGTTTAAATTTACATAAAACCATTAACTAAAAATGTTCTGAAATGATTGAGGGTGAAATTTGATTTAATATAAAACTCATTGTCCATTCCCACCAGCATGTGATGAAGCACCTGAACCTGCAGCCGCTGGACTCCCATGGCGTGGACTTCTCCAGGGTTAGAATGTGGAGCCTGAACAACTGGTCCAAACACTACAGGCAGACGCTGGTGTTCAGCTCCATCCAGGAGCCACAGATCAACAACATCCTGACCAAACACTGCGCAAACTACCGGGGACAGGTACTCGCTTTAATTCCACTCATTAATAGGAGGCAGAAATTAGGCAACCCTCAGCTGTTGTTGCAGCAGTACCCATAATGAGGCTGTCAACTGTAGTCTGCCAGATATTCCTAGATAAACCTGTCCGGCTGTCTTACTGACCTTCTGAGAGTTAAGACACAAAGTCACTCGCACTCACAATTGTTTTGTATTTTAATAGACAGTTTATTTATTGTCATTTTAACTTGTAAGTTATTAAGAAAGTCATTTGTTTTTCTTGTTTCAGATTGTCACTAAGAACATGCCAAAAACAGGTTCCATCTGTCAGGTGCTGGTTCAGCTGCCACATGTGTTTCAAATGTTCTCCTCCGACAGCTTCATGGACCATGATGCTCGGTAAGATCCTCCCACAGATGAACCATCACAGCCTGACTATTGACCATGTCATCTCTGTAAGATGGAGTCTTTAAGACAGACATTCAGCTAAAGTGCTCTGTGGAGTTTTTTGCAGCACTAGTGCTACCAAGAAATAGAATATCCACAGTTATTCCTTGAATACTATATCTCTCATGGCATTCAATGTATTTTATATTATGATAACTTTTTTAGCACTCATACTAATCTTTTGTATATTATATTAACATTGTCAGTATTTGAGATTTCTCAGTTTATGTCTAATACATCATTCGATTGGTTGTTCCCAACAATATTTTCAAAGAGTCTTCTTTCCACTGTTTCCCATCCCACCTGTAGGTTTCAGTTCTTTTTAGATAATGTGCTGCCTCAGTACAGGGACTCGGTTATGTCCCACACTCTGATCTACATCCCCTCTTACTTCGACTATGTCCGACTGCGCAACTACATGAAGAAAGAGGAGATAAACTTTGCCAGCATCTGCGAGTACTCCACCAAATCAGAGGTGTCCCGAGCCAGGCACTTCTTCCAGAAAGGGGAGAGACAGTTTGTGCTCTTTACTGAACGCTTCCACTTCTACAAGAGGTCAGTTGATTTTAATGCTCCATCAGGAAGTTTCACATGTGTTGGGTTCTGAGATTGATTTGAGGAGGAGTTTGTGTTTTCCTCAGATATCAGCGAGGGTCAGTCTGCTGGTAAATCTCTCCCTTATCATGTAGCAGTGTTTTCCTGCTGAAAGACTCAAGGCTGTACAACAAACTCAACTCACTAACTATAAGCGTTTGATTGCAGGAATCACTCTCACACAATCTATAGTGAAGTGTGAAAAGATAAGTCTTTATTACCTGTCCTAGACATCACATTATCTCTTTTACAGAGTTCAAAAGTTGGACCTGTTACTTCACTGATGTATATGCAAAGAGCTAAGGGGTTCTGCTTTTACCTCCACCAAGGCCAAACAGTCCCCAAAGCTCTACACCGTCATGATCATTTGGAAATTCTTCTAAAACTATTGACGATAATGAAAATAGTTGGTTCCCTCATGATACTACGTTGTGCAACAGCTGTTATCAAAGACATCAGGGTCAGCAACACTTGTAAATAATTATTTATGTTGCATTCAACACTGGTAGCCGACGCTCATGCTGGTTGTTTTCTTTGGAAGTTATGTGATAGGAGCCTGATGAATCAGCGAAGGCTACGTCGTAACTGAAAAGACTCACTCGGAGTCAGATGAGTGTCTACGTCATCATTTCAAACTCTGCTTCTGCCCGTCCAGATTCAAATGTAACACCAGAGCTTTCCAACCAAACGGGGCCAGCAATGTTTCCAAACTTGGACAGGAAGCATATTCATAGCAGAGTCGATGCTTTTTCAAAAGAAAATGTTGTAGTGTGAATATAGCCTATGGAACTACATTTAAATCTGTTCGCTACAGATTTCTGTTTCGATCCACATCAACTCCACGCCTCTAGAGATAAGAGTCGCTTAAATAGGATTTTCTCAGCAAGATTTATTAATTATTCTTAAGTCGTAAACTTGCAAAGAAATGGGCAGTGGTTAAAACATAACCTATTAAAAGGTCTTTAAAATGTCTTAATCAAATTAGTTGAAAAGTCATAAACCCTGACCTCTGACTTCTTTTTTTCTTTTTTTCAGGTACACTATCAAAGGGATCCACAACCTTATATTTTATGGATTGCCCTCCTTCCCCCATTTCTACAGCGAGGTGTGTAACATGCTGGAAGCGGAGGTTCAGGGAGAAGCAGCCAGCTGGACGTGCACTGCCCTCTACTCGCGTTACGATGCCCACAAACTGGCTGCCATCTGCGGAGCGCAGCGAGCCGGACAGATGCTGCACTCCAGCAAGACTGTCCACCTCTTCGTTACAGGAGGGGAAGATAAAGCCTCCTGATGGAGCTCCACAGATAAAACAGGGACCACCAAGCTAAAACCATAGCACATATCGACTGTTCATGTTAAATCTCATCAGGTCTATACCATTACATTGCCACCCCCATGTTACTGAATGACAGGTATGAACACGGCCTGGGTTGACTGTGGATCAGGTGTTGACTTCAGGTCTGTGTCAGAGGTTTGCTGTACGATGCATAACTGGATCAGTCCCTGAAAAGACTTCCTCTTCTTCTTTTGACATGAACTCTAACACACATGAGGGAAAAACAACACTTTTATTGACTTTGTTTTATGTCTTCCAGCTGGAAACGGTCCAGAATCATAAAATTACAAAGTGACAAGATCATAAAACACTGGTTTGTAAATTAGTTTGTGGGTGATCACTGTGATAAATTGTGATAAGCACCCTTTACTAGTTGGATGTGTGTTTTCATATTCAACGTATAGTATATAGTAATCATATTTTATGTTCAAATATAATGTAAAATATTTCATTTCTTTCATTCCACAAGTGTTTAAATTTGTAATAATGCTTCTCCTGGAAGTGATAATAATAATTTCACAGTCCTTACTATGAAGGCAACCCCAATATATAACTGCTTCAAATGAATCGGGGGGGGGGGGTGTTGGTCTTATTGCCTGGCAAAGCATTTTAGGAATTTTAAGCCAGAGGAATTTAAAGTAGTAATTCAAATGCTAATACTGAAAGTGGAAAGAAGAGAAAGAAACGAAACCTCACGTACTCTTAAGATAAATGATAAATGTTTGAGTGGAATTTGTGGGGGAAAGAGTGAAGCGAGTGTGTGATGTATGTAAATGTGTGATTGTGGATGTAAATGATTTCCAGGTTTACTAGAGCTTTACTTTACTCAGGGTCACTGCATGTGTGATGGGGATTCAGCTCGCCCCTGAAACAGACAAAGGGAGCACAGCTGAACAAAGGCACAAGGCCATCACTGCACTCACTGATCCTCTTAAAAAAACTGAAGGTACACAGGCTCAAATAAATAGTTGTACGACCCACCCACGTAATAATTAACTTCCTGGGTTGGTGCAAGAGTGACTTTGGCCACATAATTAGAGCGTTTTCTCCGCTGGCTAAGGTGTCAGACAACAGATGGTGTGATTATGGACAAGAAGACAGAGAAGCTTAGCCTGAAGCGAGAAGTGGGGCTGGCAGGAGCCGTGTCCCTCATCGCAGGCACGATGATTGGATCTGGGATCTTCATGTCCCCACAGACGGTGCTGTACACCATCGGCAGCCCTGGAGCCAGCCTGGTGGTGTGGGCGTGCTGTGGCGTCCTCGTGATTCTGGCCTCCTTCTGCTACGCTGAGCTGGGCACCGTCATCCAGGAGTCTGGGGGAGAGTACATCTACATCCTCAGGACCTCAGGGCCGGTCGTCGCCTTCATGCTGATCTTCAGCTCCGTGTTGTTTGTGAGGCCTGCTGGCGTCGCTGGCATCGCTCTGAGTTTTGCTCAGTATGTGGTGGCTCCTTTCTACCCAGAATGCCCCCCTCCAGAGCTGCTGGTGAAGTGCGTGGCTGCAGTTGCAATCATCACCCTCGCCACCGTGAACTGCCTCAATGTGCGCTTTTCCATGTCAGTGCAAGTGTTTTTTATGGTGGCCAAGGTCCTGGCCCTGGCAGTCATCATTATAGGAGGAGTGGTGATGCTTATCAGAGGCCACAATGAAAGCTTTAAAGACTCTTTTGCAAACACAAATGTGGGCATCAACCCAATTGGCATTGCTTTCTACCAGGGGCTGTGGTCCTATGATGGCTGGAACAATCTCAATTATGTGACTGAGGAGTTGAAACGTCCAGAGGTAAGTGAAAGGGAGATACGTGGAATGTGTTCTTTCACTGATGAAATGACGTGGGAACATTAAACAGTCAATGTTGAGATGACCTGTTTCTCCCATCATCAGCATAAAAGATAAAATAAGATTCCACCTGTTTACACAGGTGGAGAAAAGCAGTCGAATTATTGCTGCAGACTCCCATCAGTTAAACCATCACGTCACCCAAGATACAGTCTATATACTGGGGATAAATCAATTCAGTTAATGTTTGGTCTTGTATATCCACTGCCCTGTGGACTTGATACAGTATATATGTCATAGCAGTGAGTCTGCAGCAAGCAAAGAGCGAGGGAGTCTTTTTAATATGATGAAGTCTGGTGATAACTATAAAGTAATAAACCAGTAAGTAGATAAGATTAGATCAGTCATTTGCAAGTACTGTAAAATCATCTTTCATTTTAAATAGAACATTAAAAAAATAAAATACAAAGTCTTATCAGGAATAGGGAAGGTAATGGTGAATGAATGAATGAAACGTTTATTAGAGCATTTTAGACAAGAAAAAAACAAAGTGATTTAAAGGTTCAGTGTGTAGAATTTAGTGACCTCTAGTGGTGAAGTTTCATGTTGCAGCTGAATACCCCTCATCTCACCCTCTCCTTCCAAACATGATAGAGAACCTGTGGTAGCTTCAGTCGTCATAAAAACTCTAAAGGTGTTTAGATTGTCCAGTCTGGGCTACTGTAAAAAACATGGCGGCCTCCATAGAGAGGACCCCCTCAATGTAAATATAAAGTATTTAAATATAAAGGACCTTTTCTGGGCTAAAGAAAACTACAATTTGTAAAAGGTTAAAGGTCCAGTGTGTGAGATGTGAAAGGAAACTATTAGCAGAAATTTAATGTAGAATAATCCTCATGATGTTTTCACTAGTTCATTTAATTTAAATTTTATTCAAATAAAAAAAATTTAAATAATAGAGCATTCAGAGCAAAAAGAAAAAAGAAAAAACAAGATCATCAGAATGAGACACACTTCAGCAACAAGACAAGCTACACATCCCGTTCCATTACATATCCATTCAGTTATTTTAAAGCATTTGTTTGAACATTGCAGTTTGGTCAAACTATTCCATTATGTACTTTTTCTGTGACACAGTGATATTATTATCATTATAATTCTCATTAAATGTATCTCTGCATTCAGAGTTAAATATCAAACTTTGCTGAAAAGATAGAAAATTATAACTTTATCTAGACGACATCGTCATCGTCCTTCACAACAAAACTTAAAAATAAAAACAGCAATTGAAGGGAAATTATAGCTGCAGAAGTGTCATCACATCAACTGCATCTATAATCACACCGATTCTCATGAATGACGCACTGTAACATGACAAGCATGTCAAGTTGCCCATGTGTGTTTGTGCTGCGGAGACATTCCTGCATCCTGCATATGAAATGATGAAAGTGATAAACTGTTGTGGTGACGAAGTGAAAGCCTCAATTTACCAATTAGATTTAAACAGCAGGTATGTCAGCATCAATTAGGATGATGTCAGAGGCTTCAGTGGTGTTTCACTATAGAATTATGTGTTAGTCATGGAAAGCAGGTATTGCTGAATGCATTTTCATATGCATAACACACACGAGATGAGAGCACATTTCTTCCCAGCTAACACATTTGGATCTGAATTATCTATTACAGCTGAAATTCAGAAAATGAGTATCGAAGGAGAAAAATAGGGAGATGCAACATATAGTTTATTGTTATTATTTTAACATACTTGTTTTTGACAGATTAGTCCAAATAGTAGGACTGAGAAGTTAAATTAATTCAAATAAATGTTCTTTTTGTCTTTGCCCTGTGAAAGTAATACAGAGGAAAAAACTGAGAAAAATAAAGTACAAGCAACAGTATTACTTTGATTTGTTTATTTTTTGAATTGAAATTGAAGTGTAAAACTCAATGCACTTATCAATCAATATCAGATGCATTATAGGACATGGGGATTGACCAATAAGAGAATGCAACTGGAAGTAATATTTTAGACCATAGTACAAGATAGATATAATAATAATAATAATAATAATAATAATAATAATACAAATTATAAGAACAACAATTTGTATAAATCATATTGCAGTTTTCAAGAACACATTTACAAAGTGCTTCATAGACAGAAAACACATGCAAGACAACGGATACAGTAAAGCAATAAAAGAAGCCCCTGGTGAAAAGCAATAAGAAATATGTAATGAAAAGTATGACTTGGCTGCACCTTGTTTTAGTGTGCTGCACCTTGTTTTAGTGTGCTGCACCTTGTTTTTGTTTTTTTTCTCCTAATCTAACGTCACTCAGCTCTGATTGTCAATAACTAGATCTTTGCATGCCTGTGAGGAAGCAGCAGATCTCAAACGATGGAGAAAGGAGCACAGAGGCTCAACCTGAAGAGGGAAGTGGGGATAGTAGGAGCAGTGTCCTTCATCGCTGGAACCATGATGGGATCTGGGATCTTCATATCTCCCCAGTATGTCCTATCGACTATTGGCAGCCCTGGGGCCAGCATGGTTATATGGGCCTGCTCTGGGTTGATAGCCATGCTGGGAGGCCTCTGCTATGCTGAACTGGGCACAGTGATATCAGAGTCCGGCGGAGAGTACATCTACATGCTGCGGACAGCGGGGAAAGGGGTGGCGTTCATGTTTGTCTTCAGCTTCGTCATGGTCATGAGGCCCGCCAGTGCCACAGGAATCGCCCTGAGTTGTGCTGAATATGTCGTGGCCCTGTTTTACGATGGCTGCGCCCCGCCACAGGTGCTGGTGAAGTGCGTGGCTGCAGTGAGCATCGTGGTGCTTGCCATTGTTAACTGTCTGAGCGTGCGCCTGGCCACCGCCATCCAGGTGGTTTCCATGGTCGTCAAAGTGCTGGCACTGGCAGTGATCGTGCTCGGAGGCTTTGTGATGCTTTTCCAGGGAAACACTCAGAACTTTGACAGGTCGTTTGAGGGAACAAATGTTGGTATCAACTCCATTGGTGTTGCTTTCTATCAGTGCTTGTGGTCCTATGATGGCTGGAACACTTTGAATTATTTAACTGAGGAGCTGAAACAACCAGAAGTAAGTTTTGTTCAGAAGTAAGTTCACTTTGGAAGTATGCTGTTGGTAAATATTTGACTAAAGAAGTTATATACTTATGTAAGTGTCAAACCCAAGATTATACTAGATCGACAATCAAGATCATAACAAATTTTTTATTCATGGTTTATTGATCTTGTCGATCACTCCTCCTCAAGAGATTAAGATCATACTTATAAGTCACACACATAAACAAGATTTGACAGTAAATTATAGCATAGATACAACATACATGTATAATGCTCATATCCACATCAGTGACAATGAACTTTGTGGGTTAAGAGCTGCACAAACCACAGTGAAGTTAATATTACATTTAGGAAGCTTACAATAAACAGTTTTTACAGGCCTATAACAAGTTACTGGTTTGCCAGACAGTATCAGTGTGTTATCTCAGTGTTCGCTCCACAAGGCTGCATAACAGCTACAGTGAACTTGAACTTGTGCTCTCCAGACGGCGCGGCCATGGTGGACAAAGGCCCTGAAAGCATGAATATGAAACGGGAAATTGGGTTGATTGGCGGCGTGGCTCTGATTTCGGGAACAATGATCGGATCTGGCATATTCATGTCCCCACAGTTCGTCCTGGCCTACGTGGGAAGTCCTGGAGCAAGTCTGTTAATCTGGGCTGTTTCAGGAATCGTAGCTATGTTCGCAGCGCTCTCCTACACTGAGCTCGGCACAATCATCCCTGAATCTGGTGGGGAATTCATCTACATACTGAGGATCTATGGGTCATGTCCTGCTTTCTTCGCGGCCATCACTTTTCTCTTGGTCGTGAAGCCGTTCGGCATCGCGGCCATATTGATTAGCATTGCAGAATATGCCACAGCACCTTTCTACGTGGGCTGCCCTCCTCCACAGCTGGTAGTGAAGAGTTTTGCTGCTGCGACCATACTGCTTGTTGCAACAGTCAATATCCTGAATGTGCGCCTTGCTGTAAGAATCCAAGTGGTCTTCTTGGTGGCCAAAGTGGTAGCGCTGACATGCATAGTAATAGGAGGGCTAGTGGCGCTCACACAGAGCAGCACTGTCATTGTAGAAAATCTGAAAGTAGAGACGGCATTCAAAGGGTATTCTTTGAGCACTCTAGGAATGGCTTTTTATCATAGATCATTTATAAATAGAGAGGTGTATCAATGTATAATGTATTTTTACCAAGAAGATGAAGGGATTAGCAATGACAATGGTAATGATAGAGCTATTGCCAATAATGGTTATAAATTAACAACCAATTAACAACACAGTTCTGTGTAGACCAGTAAATAAAGTGCCAACTCTCAACGATGTGATCGTATGCATGATGCAGGTGTATATATTTATCTGTGAAGTCAAATTGCGCAGCAACAGGTGGCAGTTTGAAGCATTTCATATTATTCTTTGGCAGAAAAAGCAGGTCACACAAAAGTTTATATGACTTTTCGTGGTAGACCTTAGGTATTTTTTGTAGATCTCAGTTCTTTTTCTTTTCTTTTTTTTCCCTGCAGTAATAAGATATATGTTGTCAGTGTGAACCTTGTTCTGGGAATCTGGGCCTTCATAAAAGAATATGATGTCAATCATTTTCAAGTTATAAATTAATCTTAATCTTCACGTCGTTGAAAAAATAACCCACAACCACCAGCAGAGCGTACAAGGAAACAAGGACGGAAACATTTGTGGTCCTGCTGGTAACAGCCTTTCAAAATGAATCCCTTATACATTACTCTATGATTAATCATAGTGTTACCTCGCTGCAGCAGGACACAAAGTCAAGCTCAGACACGTCTGTAAACTTACTGCAGCAGATCTCTGTCCTCTGTCCTCCTTTTTCACTCAATTTGCAAATCTCGTTGAATCAGCTTCTACTCATCCTCTTTCCATTGCAGGCCACAACCCACCTCCACCCCTGCACCTCCTTTTCAAACTGAATCTGACCTTTTAATGCTGCAATGCTTCATATCAAGCTGAATTACAGAGTTTCTATACTGAAAAGTACTGAATGTGGATCTACAGATTGTGTCAGTTGCTTAACAGACCTAAAATAACAACATGAAATTTAAAAAATAACACCAGCGTAGTAAATCATTTGAAATTATATATTAACTGTTATGGAATTTCCATAGACACTGTGTCTTGTCCTCTCTGAGGCATAGTGCAACTGGTTGTTGTGTTTGGAAAGTGCGAGAGCTTGGCGAAGGTCAAAGGCAGTGACTGCAGTGACTGCAGTGACTGCAGGAAAGCAGACTTCAGAATATGAGAGAGCATCATGTATGTTGTATGGATAAATTCTGATTTTCTCCTTGGCCAAGCTTCACTGATGAGTTGACCGTTGCTCAGCAGATTTTCCACAACATAAACCACAAACATGAGCAGTAATATAGCAAACTCTTTTATTTAAAATATAATGAAAATCTTTTTAATATAATATATTTTTCACTGCAGATAAACCAGGTAGGATGAGCACAAAATCTTTTAACTTCACTATGCAACAAAGACTGTTTAAAAAAAGCTCTGTACACAAAGTCCGCTTTAAAAACAATAGATAAAACAAAATAAATACACAATAAGTGAAAGTATATTTTTGTCTCAGGTCAACCTTCCTCGGGCAGTTGTGATAGCCATTTCTCTGGTGACTGGCTTGTATCTGCTAGTGAATGTGAGCTACCTGACAGTGATGACGCCCAAAGAGCTCATGTCCTCCAGCGCAGTAGCAGTTACCTGGGGGTAAGGCAGCACCAAATCACACATTGTGGTAGAGTGGGTTCATTCTGATGTTAAAATAACTGATAAACAAAGGGGCTTTAATGTGATGAGAACCTTTACACTGTGAAAATAAATCTTGATATTCGTTCTACTTGTAGCAGGCGTCTTTTGAAAGTGGTTGTTGCAGCTTGTGTAAAAACGTCCTCCTTCCTCCTTCCACAGGAATAAGGTGTTAGGGAGCTGGGGCTGGATCATGTCTGTGGCCGCTGCGTTGTCAGCCTTTGGCTCACTGAACGGGACCTTCTTCAGCGGCGGCCGTGTGTGCTTTGTTGCTGCCAGGGAAGGACACATGGTGATGATTTCTTTATGTAACAGAGAATATGTTAAATTGTTTGGATTGAGATTGTTTTCACAGGGCTGTGTTTGTTTTGTAGCCAGATATTCTGTCCATGGCTCACGTCCACAGACTGACTCCGTCCCCGGCACTGATCTTCACCACCATCGTCTCTCTGGTGGTGCTGATCCCAGGAGACTTCCAGAGCATCGTTAACTTCTTCAGGTGAAGGCGGGGTCTGGGTTTCTTCTTCCTTTCTTCAGAAAATAAATATACAACCTGTTTGTGTTTACCTGACATGTATCTTTTTTACTGTTGTCAGTTTCACTGCCTGGTTTTTCTACGCTATCACCCTGTCTGGACTCCTCTATCTCAAGATCAAGAAGCCAGAGCTCCCCAGGCCGTACAGAGTCAGTGTGACACACGTTTTTCTCTTTTCTTTCAACACTGATCTGATAATCACAGCTTGTTAAGATAAGATATAGAGAGAGGGATCAAGGTTGTGTTATTGTGTTATTTGTTGTCACATTTATTTCTTCCTCTCTCCGCAGGTTCCCATTATACTTCCCATCCTGGTCCTCATTGCAGCAGTATTCCTTGTGCTGGCACCCATCATAGACAATCCTCAGATTGAATACCTCTATGTGACTTTATTTATCTTCAGTGGGATCTTAATCTACATTCCCTTCATCCATTACAGGCTCTGCCCAGGCCTGTTAACAAGGTTAACAGTGCTGCTGCAGCTGTTCTTAGAGGTCGCCCCTGTAGAGAAAAACCTGTGATTTCCTCTCTTTATTAAACTGCTTTTAAACTAGACACTTGTTTTCTACAATGACACTCGGGCCCTGCAGGTTATATTCTCTCCTCAGCTGTTAACACACAGATTTTAACATCTTATAGACAGTGCTGCTGGAAACTGCAATCTGATGCTAAGTTTACTTCTAAAACTTTTAGAATTTGATCACAATATTCTGGTATGTGTTGCCTGTTTGGAAAGGTAGTTTTTCTCCAGAGTTTACCTGTGCAACACTTAATGCTAAGTAGCAAAGCAGAGTATGTGCATAAATGGAAGATAATATCTGTTATTACCTCCACCAAGCATATTGTCACTCATGTCCATTTGTTTCTTGGTTGGTTTGTTTTGTATGTTCGATGGCAGGATTTTGCAAAAACTACTGAACAGATTTCTACGAAACTTGATATTAAAATATAACATAAGCCACGACAGAACCCAGGCAAAAAGAAATCAGGCATATTTAAGGAGCAGATACTGTATTTTTGAGTGTGTGGACTTAGATCTAGCAGATTTGAACAGGGTTTCATTGGGAAGCTTTAATTTGGTTTGTCTTTTTATCAACCAATCATTCTTCTGCAAAGGATCATAGAGCTTCAACAACTAACATTAGCATTTAGCTCCCATCACTGCTGTGTTAAGTACAGCCTCACACATCTGCTAGTATGGCTGCAGGTACTGGCAGTCAACCATTTCATGCTGTATTCAGGTTTGTGCATGACTCAGTTTATGTGCAGTGTGTTTTTGTAAATGTCTTCATCCACTGTGAGTGGACACTGGGGTAGAAGATAAGATCTCATTAGAAGAGACTTCCCTGAAACAAGTGAGTCTTAACTCAAAGTATGCACTCATACAGATTGTGTGAATACATTCTTTTTTTATTAAATAATTATCCACCATAAGGATAAAACAAGACATGGCCAATTCATAGTGCAACTTTCACATAACAAAAGATTGTTCATCACAAAACAGGAAAAAACAGGTAAGATTGTGTATAATTTATTGTGTATGCATATGCAGACCAAAAAAGTCTAACACTGAAAAATGTTTGTGTCTCTTGTGTATGTTTTAATGTGTGCGTCTGTGTATGAGAGTCCTTTTGTTGAAAAATATATTTGAAGCATCACTCTGCTTCACTTTTCTTCTCTGTGCCATTAGAAGTGTTTGACTTGTATTCACGGCTCTGGCCCCCTGTCCCGCTCCCGCCACCTTGTGACGGCTGGTGGTAAAGCATGTGAAGGCGCTCTGCGTTAATGTCTGCATCCTGTGCCCCCTCACAGCACTTCATCCAGGACTGTGGAACAGCCTCAATGCCGTAGTGGGCCCCAGCGATGGCCCCAGCCATGCAGGCTATGGTGTCTGTGTCCCCTCCCAGGGCCAGGCTGTATGCTATTGTCCTCTCAAGGCCGCTGTAGTTCTCTGGGAGGCATTTGCGGGGCTGGAGGCAGTGGAGGACACAGAAGATGGCGGTAGGGACTGAGTGGAGCGCTGCAATACCATTACCTGGAAATAAAGACGATTTATAGATGGGAAAGACTTGAAATACACATTGTTAATGCCCTACTCTGTTATGAACCTAAATCACAGGCAAGGGAGGAATATGAGAAATGTGATTAAGATGGAATGGACAACGGGTGGAAAGCTAGATGAAAGGAAACATACTGAAACAGATACTGACCCAGTTCAGAGATGACCTCCTCGATGCTGACCTTGCTCCTGTCCATCAGGTCTCTGATTCTGTGGAGGCGGTCACTGAACGGCATCTCTGCTTCCTTTAGGCTGCACAGACACACCATAGAAAACATTGAATTTCTCAATAATGAGTTTCCACACTTCCTCACTAATAAAACCAAACTATGGACCCAGGAGACATGATTGAATCAGATCTGTGCTAAAGCAGACACAGAGGCTTTAAGTGCACAGTACTTACATTCTGGCATCACTGCGTGCTGCCTCATCTCCCTCAACTTCCTCCATCTCTGTGATTAGCCTGCTGATGAACTGCTGAGGTAAGTCTAGCGCCCCATGCAGGGAGAGGTGCACAGCCAATGCCTGCAGCACTGCTCCGTTATAACCCAGAGAGCAGGAGTGGGTCAGCATGGCGCCGAGACGGGCAAACTGGAGACGAAAGAAAAAAAGAAATAGAAACAGACCAACCTGTCAGTGATAAATAATAAGGACACTTTCTTCATGCAAGTCTTTGGTCTTTAATTTGATCAGATCTTTAATACAAACTGAGTCCACAAAGACACCCTCTGCTCACCCTTTTAACGTCGGCCACGTCAGCAAAAGCCAGAGCAAAGGGAGCCGCCCTCATGGCCCCTCCATTCCCAAAGGAGCCCCGACCATTAAACTGGTCCCTGGCTGGCTGATACACGTCACTGAGTTGTGGAGAGGAAAGCTTCTTCAGCACCTGGATCACTCCAGAACCATAACCGCGGCCAGGGGATGCACTGTACTCCTTAGCAAACCTGGAGGGGTGAGATGCCTGAGGTTTAGCTGGTATCTTTGTGAGCACAGTCCCCATATTACCTTCTCACTGTAATAACATGGTAGATACTAATAACACTGTGTTTGTGTACCTGCGAGCCATGTCCTGCTCATCGAAGCCTGTACGGGTGAGTAGAGACTGGACCACACAACGTGCCATTGCCGTGTCATCACTGTACTCAAGAATACCTAACACACACACACACACACACACACACACACACACACACACACACCAGTGCATTAACATCTTGCATCACACATATCTATAATATTTTTCCACTGTTGAGATAAATGATCTGTTAAATGATCTACAATATAGACTGCAGCTGCAAACTTCATCGTCCAGAATCGAAGCTGAAACAATAACTCCATTAAATTAAATATTATATATAAACCACTTTATCTTACAATAATAATAATATAATCATTTGGGGTTTTAACTTTTTAACCTCCATTATTGATTACATTGGTTGTACATAGACCTCATTTCACAAAATCAAGGCTTCATGGTATATATCCTAACATCTTTTTTTTTATTTAACAGTACCCGAGGGACGGATAATACCAACCTGCTGCTGCAGGATGGTTGCTGCTTGTGCTTGTCCTTGTACTGCCATACTGCCCTGCCCCATTCCCTCCCTCCTCACTCCCCCGCTGACCTGCACTCACTTTACACATTACGTGTGCAGCCTCCTCTGTTTTCTTACAGTCATTGAACTGATAACAGAAATCTCATAATTGTCCTATATGTAACTGTTTTAATTAATAATGTTGATAGGTTAATAGTCATTTATTACTTGAAGGCAACATAGCCATTATTGTTTTTGTATGTTCAAAGAGTGTGTGTTGAATTAAATGGGATTTATTGTTTTGTTTTTTGCAGTGGTATCGACTTGGGTTATGGGAATCGTGGAAATGTCATGGTATCAGTTACTAAATGTTTGGTATTACGACATCCCTACTGCCATTGTAATGTAAACATTACCTGTCTTTAAAAAATCCAATTGATGTCTACTTCCCAATAATTGGTTATTTTTCAAATTAGAGTGATTGGATGAGCCACTCTGTTGCTTTAAGTTAAAATCATGTATCTGAATAACAGCAGGTTGTGAAGTATTCAGTGTTGTGCTGTATATGTCAAATTCATCTGCAGTCCCGGCTGAGGACCAGGGAACCACTGGAACAACCTCCCTGAGAAGATCCATCTAGCAAATGTAAATCTCTCTTACAGATACATATTGTGCCTTCTTTATGCACATCATAATGTTTGGACTGTTTTCTTATTTGCAGCATTGTTTGTATTCTCTATCTGTGCTCTATTGCTGTAATTAATCTTCAATTTTCTTTTGTTTGCCTTGAATTTTTTATTTCTAGCTCGTAAAGCACCTTGTACCTGTGATTTGAGAGGTGCGATTTTGTCGCAGTGGGCCTGGATTCTGAGAACAACCATCTATTTTCGGTCATCGATGCTACCATCTCGTGCAGAATGATACGAAACCTGGTGCATTCACTGACCTTCCCCTTTCGTCTCGTCGTCCAGGCCGTTCAGGTGCTGCAGCACACTCTCCATGGGCACCTCCTCCGCTCCTTCAAACTCACCGCCGACACAGTCCCCGAGCACGGCCGCGACCAGCGCTCCTCTGAACCGGGACAAAGACGCCTGGCCCCCCGCTGCTGCCGCCGCTCTCGCCGCCGACATAGCCATTCACCCGCCGGCGAAGAGACGTCAACCCACACCGAGAAAACCCCGAGCTAGTCCGCGGACCAGACAGCCAGACGTGCAGGTGACGACAACAACAACAACAGATGTCGCTCGATCGCCTCCTCTCTGCTGCTTCCTGAAAACGTCCCGGTGCTCGTTTGACCCCTTTAAGGGTTGGGGTCGTCCCACCTAGATGTACACACACATAGATCGGTCTGTCATTAGGAGACAGGCTGCCGTCTGTTCTATTTTGAGCTTTTCTATGCCAGGAAATACGCCCGATACCGAAAATGACATAGTAAATGCAACCAAAGATTCCGGGGGAACATGTTATTTTCAGCCCCCAGGAGATGAAGCTGTGACATGAACCCATCAGACATGTTGGGTCTTCAGTCCGATGGTTCACCTGCTGTTTACTGCTTGTTTATTCCCGCAGAGCGCAGTATTCGACATGTTGTGTGCGGAGATACTCTCGGCTTTACGGTACATTCGCACCTTCGTTAACAGCGACATCTACTGGACAGGAGCTCAGATCTCAGAGAGGAGAAACCATGTACTGATTATTTCTGATCCTATGATGTTACTCAAAGAATAATCATAGAACAGCACCTAAATCTAAATCTACATGTTTGAATCCAGAGCTACTTCTACTATTATTCCATGGAAACACACCTTTACAATTAAAGTCTAATCAATCTATCTATCTATCTCTTGCAATCAGCAATACACGATGTTCTTTGCATAAATATTCTTTTCAATTGCAATAGACTGCCATGACGGAATGAAACACATTTTTGCAAAGACTTAAGATAATTGGAAAATGGAATAAAAACATATTCGTACACAATAAAATTTCAAATTATCAACGTGTCTAGTTTACACTACTGCACTACTATTACTCTGTTTTTTTCACGTGCAGTACTAATATTCATGTGCAATACAATTATTAGTGTTTGATATTAGTTTTTTTTATCACATGTTCAATACCATGTACAATATTCCATATTACTTACTAATATTATCATTACTACTTATACTGCCAGTTTAGCTAAGTACTAGTTTACTATCTCGAGTAAATTATTTTCACTTTTTTTCATTTATTTCTAAGAGAAACTGGTTCTGAATTGACCCCGCACACACTTTCTATTTTTAATTTTTACTTGCTATTTTCATCTTCACTTCTATTTTTGGGACTTAAAATGATCGTTTTATTCTCAGTGCGCTATTATATTATTATTATTATTTTTTTAGAAAGCAGTTAAGCAAATTGTGGCGGAAGGTGTGATGATGTGAGCAAATCAGAGCGCAACAATAAATCGCATGTGTGCTGTGTGTGTGTTAGTCGCGGGTCGATGGTCCTGCACGGTGCGCACGCTGTGGATTTAATCACGACGGCAGGCAGCGCTTGTTCCACACACACATCCTCTGTCTGGGGCAGGCGAGCGTCAGAGAGTGGAACCTTCAGCCAGGAGCAGCACGAAACACGGTAACGCTTCAACTCCTCCGTCGTCCTCTCTGTGTTTTCCATGTCGCATTGTTTCAGAAGTACACCCGGACCACACGCTTACATTTCTACACAGTGAACTTACCGCTGTTAGCCGTCTAGCTTGTTTCTCCGCTGGGCAGCGTTCTTGTTGTTGCTAGCTTCTCGCATACAAAACCCAGAACCCTCCGTGGAGGTGGGTGGGAGCGCGAGAAGCGCGGCGTCTGCATCGTAATTAAAACATGGCGGATTCCGAGGAATTTAGACTAAAACGGTTAAAGGTAAGAAATGCACACATCGTGTTCGGCCACGGCGACTCTCGGGCGGAAAGCCGATCTTTTAGCTGATTTAACTTGCACGACGCGCTGCGACTGCGGGCCAGCTTCCGGTCGAGGTGTGCATATTTATGCTAACGTTAGCCAGCTAGCTTAAAACCCTGTAGCTTGCTGCTATTCAGCTCTGATGCGCGCCGCCACCGCCGAGCTCCATTCAAGAGCCTGGAACAAATGGTCGTGAGCACATTCAGCCCAGTGTGACTCAGGTCATTTGGATCATACGAGTCTGCATGAGAGCAGTGCTGCAACTTTGTGCCGCAGCTGACTGCTGGCTCCTCAGCATTACTGCTGGCTCCTCAGCAGCAGAGACAGGGCTGCAGCGAACAATAGTGGAGGTTGTGTTGAAGTTGAATGTTGACACACGAATGACTTAAACGTGAAGTTTATTTGCAGTCTCGGGCAAGTATGACATGATCTGAGTTGCTGGTTTGGTTTGTTGGTTTGTATTAAGTAATGGATTTACTAAAATGATATAAATTACCAACATTTTAATAGATTGGTCATTACTCCTCCATAAAACTGAATGGACTGAACGCGGCCCGTAGCCATTATTACCGATAACAGCCAGATATTGACAACTCCAGGGTTCTTGGTTTAGTTCCCTCAAACACGAACATGAAGAAGTTGTATTCATTAAAGACATGAGTTGTGTTTCTCACTGCAACCCAGACTTTAAGATAACAGCTTGAAATTATAAACATCTAAAGAGTAAGAGAACTTATGTTTTTCCTTGTCAATGCAGACAATACATTTTGGTGATTGTTGTGTTTGGTGTAATTATTCTATAATATTCTATAACTAAGTGATTGTGCCAAGAGGAACGTGTTGAAATGGGGTTGTTGCTGCAGGCAGTGTGTACAGCAGGGGCATCTGCTGGTCAGATGAATTTATAACAGTCAGCTCTGTTGTGGATGAAGATGGAGCTGCAGTGTGTGCATTTGCTACACTAATAGTTTTCACGGCAGACATCTTGACTGCAAGAAAAACACTGGTGTAAATTAGTCATATGCAGCCTACACTGCTTTACTTAGTGCCACCTTTGCTTTTTATGCTATGACAGCGTGAATTTAACTGCTCACATTACACCATAACAAACGTACATTAGTGTGTAACCGTCAGAGCCTATGTGAACACACAATTTGCACAACTGGCCCTCCCTATGTGCAGCAGGCTAGTGAGGAAGTTTCCACATTTTTTAATATCTGAGGCTGGATGTAGTTTATCTTTATGGAGAACAGATTCATAAAGGGTCCAGTTTTGTATCTGGGACCAACCTCAGGATTTGTGCCTCGTGTACATAGTATGCAAACATTGAGAATTGAAAAAATCTCTTTACACATAACTCAAACTGAAGAGTGACTTGGTTTGTAGTCATGGCTGATCAGGTATTATCTTATACATCTAAGAACAAGTGGGGTCCATAAGTCTGAGATCATTTTTTATTCGCTATAATTTATTTTGCAAATCACGGTTGTTCACTCTGTATTTAGAAATGCATTTAGATTTTAAGGTTTGTGAAAGTCTTTTTCAAAAACTGTACTTCCGGTTATATGTACTTGTAAAAGTTTTACAGTTATAACTTTTTTGTCTTGATAGATATTCTGTGGAAAAAGATCTACATGAAACTGGTTTTGTAAGTTTGGTAATCAAGTGTAGACGGGTAAAAAGAGCTGACATGAGTTTGCTTCTTGAAATACCTCATTTAACAAGCCTCTCTCTCCCTTACAGCATGAGGAGCACCTATCCAGAGTGTTTGATGAAGTGATGGGGCTGGGAGACTTCGCTGAATCCTCTAGGGGCTCTGCCACTTCTTCTAAGAGTGGAGGTCAGGAGGAAACAAAAGCAGTAGATGAAACATCAGGACAAGAGGAACAGCAACCGATTGAAGAAGATGATAGCAATGGCAGTAGACCAGAAGAAAAGATGGATGAGGAGGTGGTAGAATCTCCCTTTCCCCGCATTTCCTCCCCTCCTTCTGGCCGACCCTCCTCATTTACCATGAGAACCAATGAAGGAGGAGGAGGAGGAGGAAGTGGAGGGGCAGCATTTGATGATGCCCTGGATGGCCTTCCTCTGTACGGGCCAGAAGAAGATGATGAAGATTGGCACTTTGCCCTGCCAATGGGCTCCTTGGAGGACGTCGATGTGGATAAGGCAAACAGACGAAAAAGCAAAACGGACAAGGTGAACAACTCAAGTCAAGGCGATCCCTTTACTCATGAGCCCAGAGGAGGGGAGGAGGAGAAAGAGAGGGATGAGAGCACAGAGTCTGCCAACACTTCCCACTCCTCCCAGGACAACACACCTGACAACAGCCGAGGTAAGAGGTCCTACAACGTAGACAGTTTCAAAGAGGGGGCCCCTAATGCCTTATTACTTGTACCTATCCACCTTATTGATCTAAGACTATTCTTTTTCCAGCTGTAATCAAAGATGTACTCTAGTAATTTTACACATCAAGTTCAATTAATTTATTGCTGAAAGCTGTATTTAGCATGTAAAAACATAATGTCTTCTGTGGCAGTGAAGGGAGATGTAGAAGTCTGAGAAAATAATCTAGATGATGTCTGGATCGTGTGTGGCCCCGTTTCCTGTGGCTGGGCTTGAAGCCCCTTTTCCACTGGTCAAAAAACCCACTAACAGCCACTAACGTCTGGCTTTTGTCTGCAATGCATTCACTCCCAGGTCAAATGGCTCTTCATGAAGACACAGGTTTTTTATCGTCTTTGTTTCCTGTTGGCAATGAGACATGCAACATGACACCTGGTTGAACACGTTAATTTCTTCCTCTTCTGTATTTTTTCTGTATTTGATGAGTGAATAGACAGGAACATCTGTGTACTTATTGCTTTGTTGTTTGTGTTTTTCATCTTTGCCACAGCTTGAAGAGTAAATTTTTCCTTCATATCACACAAGATGCAACAATGGAAAAACAGAGCTGCTAGAGAGCTTTTTGGTTCCCAGTGCACTAATGAAGTCGTACATGACTCACCAGGGGGAAAAACAGACAGGGAAACTCCTCTACTAGCAACAGGGAATGGAGTCAATCGCCTTTTTTGGTGTTTGTGTTTAAAAACCTGGTGTTAGTGGAAGAGGCAAAGAAAAAAAGTTGTTGAGCTACAGCAAAGAGTTTTTTTTATAAATAAAACTAAACAAAAAGCCATATGGGAGAGAATCTGCGAGAAATTAAATGCTGTGGGTAAAACAAAAAGAACAACCGATGAAATCAAGAGAAGATGGCAGGACATAAGTAGAACAAAAGACAAATAGCTCATAATAAAAAAACATCAGCAAATAAAACAGGTGGGGGGCCAGTGGAAGAGATGCCAATGATAGGTCTGGATTATTTTTGATTCTGTCAATCCAAACATGTTAACACGAGCAGTAAAAACCCATTCCTTCCATTTCTTCCATGCTGTCTCCTCTTCACCACAATAACTGCAGCCATCTGTGTGCAACGCTGTGGCGTATTAAATATAGACGCACAAATTCACAATCTGCACAATTATTTTTCATGCTTTGTAAATCACAATGCATGTTCTAAATTAAAGTATTTGCATCTACTCCTCCCAATATTTTGCGCACTCGGGTAGAAATGCCTGATATCGCATATTCATTAAGGCAAACGTACTAAATGGAATTGTTATTCCGCACGCAGTCCTCAGTGTGCACTGTTGGTAGATCAGCTTGCATGTTTTTTGCGAGTGAAATCACATTTGCACATGTTTTACACGCACAAAGAAGTAGTAGATCAGGCCCTAGGTGTTCATTGTTACTTGGGAGATATTGTGAGTTGAAAAATGTTTGGTTGAGTTTTGAAATTTAGGTGCTACTGTGTTCTTTTATCTAAAAATCTTTTTCCCTCCCTKTCAGATGGTGGTGCCCTGAACGAGGGAGAGGAGACAGAGGACAGCCAGCAGGGAGAGGTGGGCAAGATAATCAAGAAGGTGCTATTGAAGTTATTTTTCAATCTTAAGTTATTCAACGTGACTATTGTTGATATTTCAGCGGTCAGAAGCAGCTCCGGTGGAGGACAGTAATCCCCCGACGTCTCCGACTATCAATATTAAAGATGAGCCTATTGATGAGGGCTACGATGCTGCTTTACTGCCTCAGAGCTCCATCAGGCAAATCAAAGAGGAGCYGGAGCATCAGGAGGTACGTGTGAGGAAAGGATGTGACAAGTGTGCAGCTTAAATGTTTCTATTCTCTGCGTCGTATTATTTAATATTGAATTAAAACAACAAACTACTGAAGGTGCTAACAGCTTATACTGAGGAAGGCACCGTGAACGACATAAAGAAAATCACATTTCTTACGTTTAATCATTTCAGGAAGAGCTGAGAATCAGTTCTGTCTACTCTGTAGGAGGAGCAAACACCTTTGTGTSTCCTGCTGGTGAGTTGATAAGTTGTTTTGCTTTTTTTCACTGTACATTTTTTGCTCTCTTTTGAAACGACAGCAGTTGTTTTTGGTTATATTGACCATGTTCAGACCTGGACCCTGTCCTGAGTGGTCTGATCACAACTGCAGCTCTGATCTAATGTGTCTTGAGATCACCTCCTCACACCACACGGAGGAGGAGGAGGGACGCACAAGGCCACATTCTTTTTACTGTGTGAACACAAATGTGTCTGGAGCAACACATATGAAGGACAGACTAGTCAGCTGATGTCTCTAAACCCCTTCAGTTTCACTATGAATCAAACATATTTTTCCTCCTCTCAGATACTTTGAAATTACATGCACGTTAAGTTGTATATAGAGCAGGGACCTGAGATCTGATCACAAGTAGTCCCAGGAGACACATTCAGGATACGTTTTAATTCCAGGTGTGTATCATGAACTTGGAGCTGTCCACTTGTGATCAGAGCTCTTAGGATGGATGTTAATACCAGGTCTGAACAAGGCCACTGGGATGAAAGAGCCCTTTTAATTTTACAGAACCTCTGATATTCTATTCATATAATCACAAATGTGACTTCCCCAGTCCATGACCTAATGTAGCAGTCAATGAAAGATGATGCTTTTTCCCTTTTGACTTGCAAGCGTTTCTTTACCAACCTTTCTCCTCTTACCCAAGTGCCAGCAGCAATCCCTGCCCCACCCCCAGCAGCCATTTTTATCCCAGGTAGAGGTACAGTCCTACAAGCTATGACTCAGCTTCCTGTGAGACCAACAATTTCAATCCAAGGTTCAATACCAGCTTTGGCAGCAGTGCCCCAACGCCCACCTCAGCCTCCTGTTCCTGGTAGTGTTCGCTGCAGTGGCTGCTCTAAGGTACCGTTGTAACTCTGCTGCTTTGTGTAAGAATGGGCCACATACGTGTTTTTAATATTGAACAAATCCCGTCATCATTAATTTTAAAAATGTCATGACATTGACTTGGAAATGCATCAATTGATCTATATATTGGTCAGCTACAGTATATTAATGACAAGACTTTGGGCAATGATGCAGCCTTTTTCTGTTCATTGTAATTTATTTCTCGTAATTTTTATTTTTCTGCAAATGGTTTTAGGTTCTGCTGAAAGGCCAAACAGCATTCCAAAGAAAAGGTTCGACGCAGCTCTTCTGCTCCACAGTATGTCTGACTGGACATCTGCCTCCAGCACCCAAGAATAGATTGTGTTTCCAGTGCAACAGGTACGCGTTACCGACATACATGACTCGAACAATAGTTTCTTGCAGATTTCTTACACCTCCAGGTAATGATCTTGGCGGTACTGTTCCCTTGAGAGCCTGATTGCATATTAAAAACTAGAAGAGCAAGAACGAACACAGACAGAATCATAACCTCCTTGGCTTAAGTAATAACATCTGTCATATAAAATACAATATATAACTATTTTCTAGTTTGCTCCAACCCTCTGTTCTGCCATCACCCTGTATGTTTTCATCCACTGTGTTTATTCCCTGTGCTTCTCTCTTTGCAGGGAGATCGTTCAGCCCAGGGACATGATCACGATTCCCGCAGATGAAAACACATACATGCACTTCTGTGGCCAGTTCTGTCTGTCTGTCTTTAGACACAAGAAGAARCATAATGACAAGCCTCCTGACAAATGGGCTGAAAAACGACTGGAGAAGAAGCCAGAGAAGCCGCCTGAGAAACCAGTGGAGCGACAGCCTGAAAAAYCCTTCTGCAGTGTCTGCAAAGTTACCAATAGGGTAAGAGGCTTGGAACTTTTACTGTAAGAAAAGATTTGGTCAGTGTGCCTAAWAAGCAAAATCAGGTTTTCTTCCAGAAATTCTCTTCCTTATCTTCTTCTCTCTCTTGTGTCCTTATGTTTGACTGGGGTCATCTGCTGCAGATTGAGCATGAGGTCACCCATCAAGGTCGTCTGCACAGGCTCTGTGGTGATGCTTGTTTTGTAACATGGCGCAAGATGCGTCACTTAGCCATGAACTGCTGTGAAGGCTGCGGACTTTACTGTAATAGCAGCTCAGGCTCCTGTCAGACTCTCACAGTGGAAAGATCTCAGCTCAACTTCTGTAGTCCTACTTGCATTGGCACCTACAAACAGGTATGTGTCTGTGAAACATATTTCCTTCTGAAATTAGGATGTTTCAGTATTTATGACATGGTTATATAGATTTGGCATAAAGAAAAAATACACATTTTAAGCTTCGCTAACCAGAAATCACATAATATCAAATAAAATGGCACACTTATCAAGCATGTTCTATTGATACAAAATGTAAACGCCTAAATTGTTTTTGTGAAGACCTGCAGAAAGACAGTGGACTGTGCCTACTGTCACAAGATGGCGGTGGTGTCCTCCACCATCATGGAACGAGACCAAAAGGGCAAAGTTCAACTTTACTGTTCACCTCTTTGTGTTGAACAGAGCCGACCACCCCGACATATGCTCAGCGGTAAGACACACGCGGCAGAGACACACACTCGCATGCCAGTTTGGGAGGGGTATGCATTCATAAAGCTAGGGTTGGTAATCCTGGAAAAGCAAGAGCCTGCTACACTTTAAATAAGCAACCGATACGTCCCAACCCCTCCCAACGGCCCTCTCACAACTACGGTCATATGAACACTTACAGCCTTACAGCTGCTTGACGCCAACTTTTTCCCTCCAGATGGTGAAGAGTCTGGTCATGTGCAGTAAGAGCAGGGCATGGTGCACGCAGGCAGGTCAGTCAGTGATAGACCAGGCCGATCAGTTCAATTCAGTTTTTTTTTTTCAGAAGACCTCATTTATTAATTACTTTTTGGACGCAAAGAGGATTTCAAGAAATAAGAAAGTGTTTTTAAGAAGCAAATCACCAACCCTACCTTTTTAAATGCAGAAGACTTGAAAATCATGCTCAGTTTTCAAAACACATGCTCTCATACTAGCAATATTTAACAGCTAATCAAATCCTTTCGATTTATTTTTATTTTACTGCAGGTACTCCATTCCCATGCAGCCTGTGTAAGGTGACAGCTGTTCCTCAGTATCATCTGGCCATGGTGGACGGCACCATTCGTAACTTCTGCTCCTATGACTGTGTTTCCATATTTAGGGTAAAGGCACCAGTAGCAAACGATAGCCTGGTTTAAACCTTATCTTCTCATAATTTCGACATTGCTCTTATTTTTCCTCCATGTCTCTTTAGAAATCTGGACACCCCTCTCAGCCAGACCTGACCAATGGAACCTCCTCTCTCAGGGACCCCTCCATCAGAGATGCAGCCAAACCAGGGCCCTCTGCTGGTGCCAGCTCAGTTCCTCCCATTCCTCAGGACTACCCATCTTCAGTCCCCTACCCAGGCCATCATCCCAGTCATACCTCAGTGCCCCCAGTTGTACCTCCCTACATAGCATTGTCCTCCCCCTCTGTCCCAGGGCAAGCACCAACCAGAGTACACCCTGGTCAGCCCTCAAAAACAACTGAAGGTGGACACATTGACACCTCCAGACTGACCTGCCATCAGTGCAGCAAACACTTCAGCAGCAAGCCAACACTATTCAGTCACCAAGTAAGGAGCACAGGTCAAAAGCATGTGTATATGTAGACACTCACTAAATACACACTTGACCATAACCATAAAGATGACAACATTTATGCTATATTTTTTCTTGCAGGGTCGTATTTCTATGTTTTGCAGTTCAACGTGCTGTGAACAATATAAAACCCAGAAAAATATCCTGGCAGTGTGTGAATGCTGTAAACGGGAGAAGGTCCTCTTTGAAAGCATCAGCTACAACCAGCAGGAAGTGGTCTTCTGCAGTGAAAGTGAGTTCACACAGAAATGACTTTTTCACATTTTGTTCACCTCTGTTATTTACATCGACTAAGTGAATAATTGAAGCCTGGCATTTTTTTTTGTGTAATTATTGCCAGTTGACTTGGTCACTTCAGTCACAGTCTTCATAAAACTAGATTCAAATCATGAGAAACTAGGTCTCTGGTCGTTTATTCTTTTAAATTCATAATGAATATAGTTTTAAATGCTGTGTCTAAAACCACCAACTTAATCCACACATTTCCTATCCGCTGGTAACTTGTACAGTGAACTGTTTTGGGATTAGTGAGTGATTTCAGACAGAGCTGAAGTGTCATTTTACTTTTGGGGCAGAAATACATGTTTATTCCACTGTAATATAAAATATGCAATATCCCATTTGTCATGTGTTTCAGACTGTAAGGTTATCTACAAACATGAGCTGACCTCTCGTAACAGGGATAATACCTGGCGTCCCTGCTCCTACTGCTCCAGCATCAGCCAGAAGATGCTGCACAGTCATTATGGCGGCAAGATTGAGGAGTTCTGTAAACCCCACTGCATGTCCCAGTACACTGTGATCTACTATGGGGTAAGGAGTTGGATTTCACATCGCAATCTTCAGTGTCTTACACTATAAGAAGCATCTTAGTATGTGTCATTTCTGGTTGTTTCTCTCTGCTTATCCTTATTTCCTTTGTCCCTCCTCTCCACCTGTTTCTTTCCGTCATCTTCTGTCCAGATGGGGAGATGTGACAGTTGTAGGAAACAGGGCTACATGACGGAGAAGCTGCAGTGTTTGGGTTCAGTCCGTAACTTCTGTTACCTGCCCTGCCTTCTACATTACTGCCACCATCATTTTGAGACAAGTCAAATCACCAACAGTAACGGTACTGGAACGGCCCCACAGACACCATATGGTAACTCGTGTCAACTTTGTGTTGATATGGTGTTGAGCAGAGTTTGTGAAAGCTCATCCAAGATAAAATATGAGTGGGAATGTGATTTGGGAATGTTCTCACCTCACTGCACAGTGGGAGATATGTTTAAGTAGCTTTTAAGTTTTAGCTTAAAGGCTCAGTGTGTAGAATTTAATGACATCTAGTGGTGGAGTGTAATGTTTCAGCCGAATACCCCTCACCTCACCCTCTCCTTCCAAACATGAAACAGAACCTGTGGTCGCCTTCAGTTGTCATAGAAACTTGAAAGGTGTTTAGTTTGTCCAGTTTGGGTGACTGTAGAAAACATGGCGGCCTCTGTAGAGAGGACCCGCTCCTGATGAAAATATAAAGGCTCATTTTAGGGGAAAGAAAACAACAAGTTCTACAATTTAGATGAAACACACTAGTGAAAACAGGATTATTTTATATTCAATTTCTGACAATAGATCCCTTTCACCTAAATCTTACACACTGGACCTTAAGTAAAAAGTTAACTTAAGGTTCAAATAATCTTAAATATAATTTTACACGTGGGCTTGGATTGTAAAGTCCCTTCTGTCTTTCTTCTAGCTCCTACCCAGCCACACCACTCCTCAAAGATGAATCCTGTCATAGCTGATGTCGTCTCATTGGCCAGCGGCTCTGCCACTCAGCCTAGTGTGTCAGCAGATACTGCTCAGACTGGTTAGTTTATACACATAACTCTGGGCGGCTGTTTTCAAAGTACATACCCGATTCTCTTGTGTTTGAGACACTTGTCCTGGACAAAGCTCCTTACAACCATCCAACATARGAATTACTCATCTAAATGTTGTTTCTAGTGAGAAGTTTTCTATATTGAATTTAATCAACTAATATAATATTATTTAGTTATGGTAGTCATGGTATATGTATTTATGATATGTATTTCTACAGTGCTGTTATAGCTTGTCTTCCTYTTTTGCAGGAGCTCTTCCAACCTCCATTGACGGCAAGAACCATGACCATGTATGTACTTTGGGTTTTTGTTACAGGTTAGACCAGGGGTGGGAACATTCTGCCTCTGCATGTTGCACCAGTGCGTGTTGCACCAGTGCGCCTGCATTTAGCTGCTCTGTCTCTCATATCCTCTCTCTAAGTCTGGGAGCGAGCAGAGTTTACACTCACACACACAGGCCCTGTCCCCGCGCTCTCACTTAGCGCAGTTGTTTCAGGATCAGTGTGGAAGTGGAGCAGCCGTTGCTTTGTACTGTGTCTGAGTCTCCCTCCACACTCCTGCTGACCTCACTTTACACTTAAACAACTGTAATCGCTGGTTACTAGCACCTGAACAGTACTGAAGTTTACTTTGTGTTTCTTTTGATTCGCTCCGCAGTTCGTGACACACATGTTCACACACACAATAGAGGAAACGATGGAATATTAACCTAATACAATACAAAGCTAAAAGCTCATGTAAACCTTAAACAACCCATCTTGTTTACTGAGCTGGTAACATATATCTTTGGCCAGATGTTAAATATTTATTCAAGAGCAATTTTTGTTAACAGAGCCAGCAAGTCCATTTAAATTTATTGTTGTGGTTGTGTGTTGTTTTATTTATATATTCTTAAGAATTATATTCATTGCTCTTTAAAAGGGTGTACTTGACCATACTAGGGTTGGGCGATATGCTAGAATGTCTCAGTTATATTTAATTGTGGACATGACAATATCAGTGCCAATAAACAATTTGTCTAAATATCAGATTTGAGATCTAGTTAAAAAATAAACTCTCCTTTTATTTGAATTGTCTGTGTCCAGGCGAGTACACAGACTGACGCCATGCGTGTGCCTGTGTCCCGTCGACGTCAAATGAAGAACAAGTCGGTTCTGTGTCGACCCTTCACCATGGACCAAGAGAGCATGTGCCAGCTGCCCATTGAATCAGAAGGTAACTAGAAAAGCATGTTGTCATGTTCTGGTAGTTAAGTTCACAGAACATCTGCTCAGCAGTTTTGGTAAAACGTGCTGAGCTTCACATTGTGTAGTAGCATCCCAACACTAACATGTGCCACAGGACCTATTTTGAGTGGCTTCAGAAAGTATTTAGACCCCTTCACCTTTTGTAAACATTTACCAGATGAAATTGCCAATTAATTTTTTTCAAACATGTATTCGAAAGGGAAAAAAGCCCTGACATCTCATATACACAAGTATTCATACTCTTAACTAAGTATGTTATAAGAGCCCCTTTAGCCACAATGACCGCTCAGATTCTTCTTCAAAGGTCCACAATATATACTAACTGTTTAATCACGTGTCCACGTAGACAACCGACTGCATCATGACTTACCTAATCATGGACCTTAGTCTCTACAAGCATCGCAAACCTGGATTTGGGCAGTTTATCCTGAGCTGCCATCTTCAGGTCTCTACATATGCTCTGCTGGGCGATAGTTTGGGCTTTGCCACTCATGGACAGTCAGACCGGTCTAGAAGCCACTGTCTTGGCTGGGCGCTTTATGTCATTCTCATGCTGGAGGGGGAACCTTAACTCCAGTCTCAGGGCCATGTTTAGTCCAGTCCAGGTTTTCTTCAAGGACCTCTCTTTGTTTGACTGCATTCATCCCTCAGAATGCAAAAAGTGATGGAGTCTGACTAATTCTTGAAGCCACTGTACACCAGGTCACTTTACTGTACATAGTGCAAGATTTCCAACCTATTTGAAATCTGTCTTCATAGAGAAATGTGGAAAGTTTTATACAATTTTCTACTTCACATCACATGATGTGTTGAAAATCGCTCATGATCTCTTAATAGTCATTAATTAATGGCTTTCATTGCTTTTACTTTGAAGCTGTTATTATGTTTTGATGTTGTCTAATAATAAAAATCACATGATCAACTTTGAATTATAAAGTAAAAATTTAGTTAGGAAACCAAAATCAACTATTAACTAAATACAGTGTGGAATATAATATTGAGTTACCTGAACTGAGGTAATATTTGATATCTTGGGGTGAATATTAATCTTCTATTTAGCATAGAATAATGCAGAATAATTGTCAGGAGTTATAGACCAGTCAATGTTATGCCACACAGTAGGCATGGACAATAATAAGAAACGACTGTAGCCACGCTCCTCCAGGCAGAGGAAGGTGTGTCTTGTTATAAGGCAAGGCTGGTTTATTTTGTGTAGTACCTTTCAACAACAACAACAACACAACACAAAGTGCTTGTTAAAGGCATGAAGAGAATATGAAAGACATATTCTTAGGATTTATGTGTGGGCTGTTGTTTGTGACAACCCAATGCAGCAACATTTTTATGGAGGTTTTTTCGCATCTTTATTCCAGAGCGTGGTCTTTCAACTTGAGAGCAGGACATTGATTTCATGTTTACATTATATAAAGAGCTCACTCAAATATACCCTACTTGCGCTCCAACTTCAGCTCCTCTCCTCGTGCTTACGCTGATTCTCTCCTTAAGTCTTTGTCTGTCTTCTACATTTTTGAGTTTTGTTTTTATAGATGTGTTCCCATAAGTTTTGAGTGAGAGGATTACAAAATCTGAATGTGGAATATATAAGTCCTGCTCTTGAACTGAAAGACCACTCTTGGATAAAGATTAGAAAATATCCCATGCAATTCTATTCATCAATGTTATTTTGTTTGGTTCAGTTTTTGGGTTGTTCACAATTAGCTGTTTCAATAATTGCACCAGCTCTGCTAGATAGCTCCTTGCAACCATCCACTGACGCATCCACATCTCCAGCACCGTCACCTAAACCTCAGGGAGATACTCAACCATGTAATGGCGTGCCGGCACGCCTAACCGGACGGCATTTCCTGGACATGCGAGAGAGTGTCTCTGACTGCAAGGTCTGCACACGACCCAAGAGGAAGAGGGTGGAGGAAGAAGAGGAGCAGAAGAAAAAGCCGAAGTTGGAGAAGCCAGAGATGAGAACTGAAGAAGAGGTGCACGATGAGAAGGATGGGGAGAGAAAAGAGGAGAAATCTGAGGTGAAGGAATGTGAGCAGAAGAGTGGGACAGTGGGAAGGCAAACATCATACTATTGTAAGACATGCTCAGGAGAGCCCAGCCTTTGCCCTGTGCCCTGTTTTGAACTCTACCACACCAGACTGATCTACAAAACAGCCCCTGAACTGGAAACACAAGGTGAGTCTTCTGAATAAAAACATCAAACATCAATTATGCTCTAAAATGTAGTGTTTTGAATTTAATCACTAGCTGTTCTCAGACATGAGACACGGACAATGTCTGGACTTTCTCCAGAATTTACCTTTCACACATGAAAAACACAGCAGGAGATTCTCCGCTCAGACACATTCACAACAACACAGAAATTAATGTTGCTATGGACATCACAAGTCTATAGCACGTTGCCACCGGCGTCTGCCCTTATCACTGTGTTCTCACATCCAATCATGGCCCGGAGAAACTCAACAGAAAGTCCAGATGCTCTCATTCAGACATTTGTGTTCTCACATACAGCCCCTCTGGAGTTCAGTGCATGTCTGAAAGCAGTTGTTTGAATTGTGATAACTACAACTATGTTTATATTACAATAACCATTACCTACTATGTGTTTTTTTAAAGTAAATTTAACTGATTTCTTAAGAGGGTCGAGTGTCACCCGAGTTTTTCTCTCCACAGCCTCCTGACTTGGAGACACAAGAGGTCACCTTCTACTCTTCCAGTGGACAAAGATTAACAAGCTACAGGGTTGATTGATCATGTTCAGACCTTCACTACATTTGTTACCTCGACTTTCTTTTTTAAGATTGTTTAAGTTCAACCCCAAATTAACTGACAGCAAAGGCAGAATACATCTGTTACATGAATTTACATTTGCAAACTGGTAGTGCAGTGACATTTTGCACTAAAATAAGTGTTTCTATGTTTTTTAACAAACAAATCATAGCAGTATTTCTGATTCATTTTGCAGACGAAATGCAGGTTGTTCATATTGTGTGGGGGATATTGCAAGTGGTGTATAAGTAATTAACTGGAGGCTTCACTGAGTAGACTGAAATGCTGTACTTACTCAGGTGTTTCAGTGACCTACAGAGCATACTGTAATATGTAAGGAAAAACAGGTTTTACCTCATTGATTAAATGTGTCAAAAATGTGTTTGAAATATCTCCTGCCCACTGTGTTCAGGTGTTTCACTACATAACATCTCCTGTCATGTAGTCATAAAGTCTGGAATCCATCAGCAACTATGCTGCTGAGATAAATGTGGCTGCATAAGTTAAGGACCAGAGTCATAGCAGCTCTAACAAGGTGAGGCAAAGCAATATTATTATTATTATTATCATTATTATTAGTATTAGTACTACTACTCCTCCAGGGTAATATTGTTGTGCCAATACAGTGGTATTTGATGGAAGTTCCATGGCAAAAGAAACTAAACAGCAGAACAAAATTCATATTTATGGCAATGTTAGATTATTAACATTGCTCAGTTTAATTGATTGTATCAAGCTGACATGGCAAAATGTAGAAAAGTAATTTGGAACCAATCTCATAAATGATGTCTCGAGGAATAACATCTGTCCAGTTGTTGCACTAATGGCCTGTTTCTTTTGTGATGGAAGTCCAAGCTGTCATTCAGTATTGCTGCCATAATGACTTGATGAATAAGGAGAAAGATATGCAGTTGTGTGTGGTTTAATAAACTTTACATGAATCTGGTTTAGGATCAAAATTCGTGGCCTCGTGTCTCACTAAAATCTGAATGTTTTTTGTGACCGCAGAGAACAGCTTTCATTTTGATGTTTAGTCAACTGACATGTCCTGTTGCACTTCAAGTTTAATGTAAATGTTGAGTGTGAAAATTGAAGGTTAAATTCCATGCTGCACCTCAATGAACCAAGACTGACCTCTGTTTATCCGTCTGCCGTCATAGTTGAACATGAGCTGTATCACAAATTTCATGTTTACATATGACCTTTCCTTTTTTATCAACCTACTCTCTGTTGTATTTTTCTTTACCACAAGTGCATGTTTCTTCTTTTCTTTTCTCAGATATGGTTAAAGTGACATGGGCCAGATCGTTATTGCTATTGTTTGTGTATTATGTTGTCTGCACCTGAAAAAGGCTGTTGTGCAAAAAAAGATGTAAATAAATTAAATTTGAGAAAAAAATATATATGGGACAAATTATTTCTCACGTTTTACTTAATTTATCACATTTTACTTACAAATGGTCTCCATCATATTGATGATAAATGTACACAGTGATGTGTTACCACATACAGTGAGAATAGACTCAGTAGATGGTAATGACTGTAAGATATACTCTGTAAGTAAAAGGAATAATTTCTGATGCAAAACACTCACATGCACCCACACATCAAGCATTCACGAGTCTCTGCTGTGTTGCATTTCTCAAAACTGTCCATGATCAGGCAGAACGGTGAGACTAGTGATGGAGAAGCAACTCGTTCTGAAACATTGAAGCAGTTCATCAACAAAACCTGGGGAATAAACTTTAATTTCTTTGCCTGAGCCTTGGTAACAACAGCATCTTATTCAAAAAATATAAATTGACCTATCCATGTCTGTGAGGATTTGATTTTATCCACTGGACGTGTAGATATTCAGCAGCAGATGCTGACATCAGTTTGATACTGGTGACGCAAAGAAATTGTTGTAATGTAAAAGAAACATGAAAATAAAGTTCTGTGTACTGAGTACTGATGATTACGGGTGCACAGCTACTTCCTTTATGAGTTATGTGTATAAATACAACTAGAGCTGGTTGATAAAGTTTCTTCTCAATCAACGTCAGAAGTCTGGTGGATGATGATGTTGAGGTTTGTTTCCTTAATAAAACCTCAACAAATCAACACGTTAATACATCAGTAGTTAGTAGAAATATCATAACGTTTTATTATCATTTTGTGAAAAACATTAACATCACCCTTGGATTGGTAAGGTAGCATTTATTTGACAAATATCTGGTAATTGTTTTGTTTTGTATCATAACTTTTACAGCATAGCAGTTATAAGTATAATATGCAGATATTTAATACAAATACAAACGATAAAATATTTAGCAGGAACTAGAAACAATTGAATGCATTTTCTTAATAAGAATTAAAAGTAGCACCCTTGTTCTCAGCTTGAAAGTCAACTTTTTTGTTTTTTTAAAAATGATGGCTTCAATCAAAGCCTAAATAACTCATGATGATCTTCTCCTGTCCTCCCCCCTCCAGCTCAGTCCTCTCCCTCAGTGACCACCTCAGCCAGAGAGGAGAAGGTGAAGGTGATAATGGTACCAGTCCCAGTTCCGGTCTTCATTCCAGTGCCTATGAATATGTACTCCCAGTACACACCTGTACCGATGGCAATGCCCATGCCTGTATGTAACCCTAACCCTTTACATTACATTGACCTCATATTGAATCTTTACCGCAGCAAATGAAATGCAGAGTCTTGCTTCCAGGTGCCAGTACCCATGGTGGTACCACCACAGAACAAGGAGATGAAAGATGCAGCTGTCCAATCAGATCCTTTGGATTTGAAGAAGGAAAAACACGGTGATCAGCCAGTTTCCACTGCAGGTGTTTGTTTTTTTTTTCATATTTGAGTTCGATGGTGTTTTAGATGTTTTTGTCAAATTGACAGAGCTCGGAGGAAAACGTCAAAAACACCTCAGGTTCACCTTGTGTGTGTTTTATCTCTGTGTATCTGACCAGACCAGAGGAGTTCCAGTGCAGACGTGGAGTCACAAGTGGTCGATCCCACAATCCGTGAAAATGAGGACACTCCAAAAGCCGTTCAAGCCGATCTGCCTTTGACTGTAAGTTCCGAAAGGAGTACAGGGTCTAGTGAACCCCAGGTTGAAGTCCAGCCAGAGAGCACGACAACAAGTCAGCCACCGACCACCAGTGAGCCACCGACCACCAGTGAGCCACCGACCACCAGTGAGCCACCGACCACCAATGAGTCACCGACCACCAGTGCCGAGCATCAACCTCCCTCCTCTCCAATGATGGACTTGGAGACGGACTTCCCTTCTGGTGAGATACCTTGTTAAATGATTCCCCAAATGTAGTTGCTAACTTGAAAGCTTTAATAAATGTAGTTGGAAATAACAGCACCTAAGAAATATTTCAACTTTTAAAAGGGAGAAACATTCTCAGCCCCTGTCACTCAGGTGTTGTGTTTGTGTTTCTGCAGTGTCAGTTGGTCAGAAGTCGACTGCTCCACAGCGAGGAGTGAAGAGACCCAGAGAAGGTTTCTCTGGCAGGAAACGGGTATGTCTCTCCACATAATTCAACAGTGTCTGGGTAATGTCGGATTCATTTAATAAGCATTTGATATTGACCCTGATTTTTAGGCAGAACTTCTCTTGCTGGCTGCTCTGTGATTCTCTAGTGGACACCTTTTTTGTGATCTGCTGCATTTAAGTGCTATAGGAACTGGAGACTGCTGGCAGGAACCTCTTTAACAAATCATATCAGCTGGTCTTCAGATGTTATGACAGTCTTTATGTGTATTAAGATGACCAAAAGTTTTACAAATACACTCAATGTTTCCCCCCAAAAAAGTTCATTATTCACCGTCAACCCTTCAGTCATTTCAACTGTTTTCTGTCCAGCTTTCATTGCATAGTTTTGTTTATCTAGGGACGAAGACGGACTGTTTTGGACCGCAGTGTATTGGAACCTCCTGCCGCCTCCAAACTGAACCACCTGTATGGGGTTAAAGCCTGGAAGTGCTGGGTCCAGCAGCGCAACAAACAGCCACAACAGTGTAAGACTCAGTTCTCTTTACTGTTTTAGTTTCTGTGTTCTTTATCTCTTTATTGTCATTAGTGAGTCCTCCTCAAACAGTTCTACATTATACTGTCACTTTTTATTGTTTGTGTGCAGAGATTTTTATAAACAGTTAAATTAGAAAACTTTGTGATCATTCTACCTGGTTTATCTGCTCTGAAGGTTTTATAAACTTGATATAACTTTCGTATTTAATATGAACTGAATGTCTTTTATATATATATATATATATAATATATATGTACGAATGTATTCGTTTTGCATACACGTTGGCTACAGAGGTCTGTTAATCAATTGAATCAATATTCAGAAGTTCAAGTTCACAACTTTTAAAAATAAAAGTACTATTTTGGCAACAAAATTTACATTGTGCTTTTACTTAAATGCCAAACAGGAAACAATTGAATGAATGTTTACGTTCTCTCCACCTGTAGCCCCCCTAGTGGACGTTAAAGAAGACATCCTTCAATGTGACTCTGCTGAGCTGAGCTTTGCTCTGTCTCGCTTCATCAGAGAAGTGAAACGGCCCAATGGAGAGACCTACAGCCCAGACAGCATCTTCTACCTCTGTTTGGGGATACAGCAGGTCAACACACACACAAACGTGTCACCGGTTTCTAACGAGATTCTTTCACTGTGTTTCTCACTTTTTGACTCTTTATGTTTTGCCTCCTCTCTGAACAGTATCTGTTCATGAAGGGCCGCATAGAGAACATCTTCACTGACGAGCTCTACAGTCATTTTGCCACTGAGATCACCGGGATGCTGCAATTCTGGAAGCCTAAACTACTACCTAGTGGTATGATCATGATACAGAGTCACACCCAATTATTATCGACACTATTTGTGGTTGGCTTTTTTCTCTTAAATAGCAATTCAATATATTTACCAATCGCAATTACCCCTATGTACACACATTTTCAGAAGTAGAGGTTGAATTCCTGCACTTGTTTCAGACCATGTGCATCTTTAAAGGTTCATTAATCAATAAATAGACAGTGGGTTGATTGAATACATGTTATATAATAGGCGTGGGGGAAGTCAGAAGCTGAAGAGCCAGATATTTTCCTCAGCGTTTCCCCTGCTTCCTCTTTCCTCCTACAGGTGGTGTTGTTTCCTCCCGTGTTGAAGAGTCCTACCTGTGGGAGTGTAAGCAGCTGGGTGCTTACTCACCCATAGTGCTGCTCAACACGCTGCTCTTCTTCTGCACCAAAACCTTCCACTTAACTACTCTGGCTCAGCACCAAAGTCTGTCCTTTGTCAACTTCACTCGACGCTCCAAGCCCTGCAGCCGAACCGGAAAAGTCCACTACCTCCAGTTCCAGAGGAGCGGCTCTGCCACGCCCAGCCGGGAAGACACAGGTAGCCTGTGTACAATGAAACGTCTCCACCCTGTTTCTGAATATAACAGTCATTATTATTTCAAATACTGACTCGCTGAGTTTTGGTTTGTCCTGTTGTTTCTAGAGCGCCACAGAAGAAGGCAGACAGAGAATGAGGGAAGCGTGGAAATGCTGGGAAATTTCACCAACCCTCTCCACTGTCCTGTCAGACTCTACGAGTTCTACCTCTCTAGATGGTGAGACACAGATTACTGCAGATAACTCACACTCCCTGGTTTACTCCCCGGTTAAGAAAAATGAACATGTTCTCTGTCCTCTTGCTCATCAACAGCCCAGAGTCAGTGAAGAAGAGATCCGATGTGTTTTACCTCCAGCCTGAACAGATTGTCCACACACACAGGTCAGAGTCAAAGAAACCAAGTGATGTGTGATTTTTCTTTAAAGGGTGTAACTGGACTTTATTTAAAAATCTTTGAAAAACAAGTGAGAGACATTGACAACATGAGGTGGAAGGTGAACGATTTATACTTGTATCAATCATTGTGCCTCCTCACCAAATAAACCTTTGCAGAAGATGAACATGACATACTGATAATAAAACTATAGAAATGTAAACAGTTAATGTTCACTTTCTCTTCTCCCTTTACTGACCTCAACAGTTCGCACTGGTACACTTCTCAGCCGTTAGAGGGAGCCACTCTACAGAGCATGCTCACACGCATCTTGGCCGTCAGGGAGGTGAACCAGGCGCAGGGAGCAGCCCAGCATCAGCCCTCCGCCCCCACTGCTGACAGCAGCTTCCAGTGAGGTTAAACCTGCCTGCCTCCACATGAGCTTACACCCATCGGTCATTTCAGACTGAGGCTGACAGGTCTGTCAAACGGTGGGGTTCATGAACGGACCCTCCAGCTTTGAAAGAAAGAACAGACAGAGATATGATAAAAAAGAGACTCTTTCATAAAGAGAATTTTTAAGAACTGAGATAAGTGTATTTAGTTACCTCAGTGGCCATCTCCTCCTCATATACATGAGTTTACACACTGATGTCGTCAGTGATACTGTTGAACATGGAAAATGGAAAGTTAATGAGTCCATTGTTATTGCAGCACTCATCACATGTGGTGGGACTTCATTTACTACCTGTAATGGTCAAGGCCAAACCTGTCAGATGTTCCGGTTATCATCAGACCAGTGAAAACAGTCAGAGCTGCTGTGAACAAGGAGAGGGCTCTTTTACTGTCGTCATGGTCCCTCTGTACTGGTTCAAGTTGTGACCAGAGCTTTTTAGGCTGGAACTACAATTTTGAGGATTGATGTGAAGAAAAAAAAATCAAAGCCTAAAAGAAAGACATGTTGAGCAGGTTGGATTTTTCAGTCGTGTGAAGCTACACACAACTTCACGTCACTGGTTTAGGTGAAGCACATCCGACAGATTCTGACAAATTAAAGATTCAATATGTAACTAAATCTGCATCATATTCATCTCATTAGAGGTGGAGGACATCTGGCATTTGAATAAAAGCCCAAATGTAATATGTTGTTAAATCAATATATATACCAGTGTAACCCTTTTTGTAATGACACTCACAGTGCCTCTCAATTTTTGTTCTTTCATTTTTAACAAGTTATCACTTTTTATTTTGTTCCTCTTTTATATTCTTCATCCTTTGTGGCCTTATTTCTCGTCTCCTGTCTTTCACTTTCAATGTTGATATGAGTTTGTCCCCCTTTTTTTCCTCCAGGGTTTCCTCAGATCGACTTATTCCCTCCAGCAGTGGTGTATGTACGTCTTCTTTCATTCCCTTTATGTCTCTGTCTTCCCAACAGTGCCATCGTTTCCTCTCTCTCTTTGTTTGGCTTTTTTCCAATTTGTGTCTGTTCTTAAATCCTGGGATTTGAAAAAAACAGCACACAACTTAACGCAATTGCAAACTCCTTTCTTAACCCAAAAGCCTGAGGTTTCCCGTAATATAACTTGGTCTGTATGATTTATGGTGTAGTATGATTCTCATTGACTATATATATAATGTCAAGAAAGCATTATGACAACGTGCCTATCAGTTGTTTTTAATCAACCCTGTAAACCTAAGAGAAATCGGTATAGTCTGAATTGGTTGACACAGTTCTCACTTCATACACATAACCTTGTGTAAGTTAAATGCACATTTATTCTTTGCCATTTCATAGATTTGTGGATTGTATATTGGATTAAAAATCATTAAATCTCAAGAAAAATGTACGATTTCCCCCCAAAATAACTATTTGTTCTTTTTTTGTGATGATAAATACTCCTTTGTTGTTTTTGTATGTTTTGTCATGGAGGCCAATGTGCCTTTAGTTTTGCCTCATGTTCATATTTGATATATAATCCCTGTTACAGTGTAAAGGAGATAACAGCACTACACCTCACTCCAGGGCTCCAAGCTAACAGTTCTGACAGATGGTGGGCCATCGGCTGGATTCAGACACAACATACACACTGTCGCTGCTGCTCTCTGAAACGCTCTCAGTAGATTGTTCAGGAAGACAGTGGGTCGTTTTATTGTCATGCACAAAAGGCTGAGTCTCCATTAAGTATTAAATTTCATCTTATTCCTTCTTTTACTCAGTTGCAAGGTGGAGGATTTCTGTTGAAGGCATGGGGGAAGTGAAATGTGATATTGAAAGGGTCATTGAACTTTGTGCATTTTTGGAACATTGATTTATAAAATGTGTGAAGTTTGAATTTGTGTGTGTGTGTGTTTGTTTTAGATTGATGTGGTCATGGCTCATTTTCAATTGTCTTTTCTCATTGATTGTGGAACTAATATAAAGCCAATGGCTTCAAGTGGTTGCAGAGGATCATACCTGTAGCCAGAGTCCATATAGATTGTAAATAGATATTTTAGGAGCTAAACACTACTAATTATAATATACTACCTGCTAATCCCACATACTTCTGTCTTTGGTCTGTATGTGGAATATGTGGGATGTATATCTTGCGAACCTTGTATATTGTCAGGTCAAGGGAAGTGCAGTGTCAAATTTGCAATGTAGATACATGATGCGTTTAATATTGATAAAAGTTTAATAAACAGGTGACCAGCGCTCTGTAGCAGTCAGTGGGGTCTGCCTTCAGTCTGTGGACCGAGTTGGACGTGTCTTCTACGTCCTCAGATAAACTTACAGCAGTGGTCGGTAAGTGGCCACAATGGCAATAAAATCTAACCCTTGTCTGTCTTCTTACCCACTATAGCTGTCAAACAGAACTTTAAAAGAAAACAGCACAGTGCAGAAACTGTAAAAACATTCACTGTTAAACTAAAACACTTTTCAACAYTATCATGTTCTTTAATAACAGTTTTCTGTGATAATGAGTGTTGATTTAACTTTTCAAAACAGTGCACTTTCTAAAATCAGCTGAATAGGAAAACTTTAATTTAAGTGTAGAAGTTCTTTTAAGATTTCACTGCTGACTTTTAGAAGTGAAAGAGGATCAGGATGTTGGACATTATCAGATTTGCTGCCTGTTCTGTCAGATAACATCCTCTGATGTGAGGGAGCGAAAATTCACATAACAGGCATCCATCAGTGATTTGAATAAAAAGATATGTGATATTGTCATCATATGCATATCTTTATATAGTTTATGATAAGAATGGAGACCACACCTTGGGGTTATCTGGGCTCTCAGACCAGTTTCCTCTAACTATTTTCACCCTGTGACTAAATGAGTCAAATAACAATTAAATTTGAATGATTGAGAGATAAATACTTCACCCGCCTGTAATTTTAAGTTAATTCTGTAACTTTACCAAGTGGATAAAAAGTAGAAACAGTTATCCACAAACACACAAGCAGTTTTTTTTCTTTCAAAAAAATWATTTATTTAATTCTGCTTGCAGAATAGATGTTACATTCAGCAAAAAATGCCCTGAACGGACCAATGTGACATTCTCTTTCATCAAACACATTCTAAACCTGGAACTGGATAAAGAACAAACAGGGTGATCACYCACACTACTGCACAACACCACCACCGAGTGGACAAAGCAGTCAGTCTGTAATGAGTGGACTGAGCTRTTATATATAGACTCAAACTGCTACAGGACATGGTGGATTTTAACATAAGACAAGTACTGGAASTTCCTGAGACTTGTGTATAACAGAGAGGGAACGTTAGCCATWTTAATTTCAACAATATGTCCAAAGTTGTTTTTTCCACTTGTTTGCTGACTCATGCCAGACGTTTCAAGGTTGCCAACGCTACTCAGAGRGGTGTGACATTTGGGTGATACACGTTAAACAAAGACGAAACTAAAGTTGAAAACATTCATATTCAAAACAGGATGGAAGAAACACAAACATGAATGAAACGGCAAGAGTGTGAACATTTATAAACCAAAACCAGTTATAAACTAATTTCTTTGCACTCCCATTAAGGCTGGACAATATTTCAATGTTATCATTTCAAAACTTTCAGTGGAGCTAACTGTTTAATCTTTGTCTCCCAGCCCTTAACTCTTGCATAGTAARWAACAGGTCATGGCTGTTGTTTAGGCCAATTCCTCTTCGCCTTCTTCCTCAAACTCGCCCTCTTCCTCAGCAGTGGCGTCCTGGTACTGCTGGTACTCGGACACCAAGTCGTTCATGTTGCTCTCAGCCTCTGTGAACTCCATCTCGTCCATGCCTTCGCCCGTGTACCTGAAACAATGGACGTTAAGTCAATACTTATTGATGGGCATCA